CTTTTGGAATGACCTAATACCTATGAAAATAGGGTACATACTTGATGTTTTCAACTTTTTGTGGCAGTCTTCCAGGATTTCCTGAGAAGATTAGTTACTTCACAGTTCATTATTATGTAGGTATGTAGGCTACTTTCAAAATTCTCGCGACCCTTCTTAGGGGTTGGCTGCACAAAATCCTCTATCACTAATCCTAGTGGCGTACCGAGGGCCGGGGCTTGGGGGCGGGGGGGGGGGGGGGCACGCACCTTCATTAGAAATTTTGTCCCCCCCCCCCCCGATCCGAAATCCTGGGTACGCCACTGCTAGATCCATATCTGCAAAAGTAGGTTGGGACGGTGGAAACTGGTCGAAATTCAATGATTTGTTTATCTGACATAACCCTATTCAATATTGGCTGTTTTCAGCTATGGAGACCGCGAAACTCATAAAAACGCAGCTCATATATACGCATTTGTCGAGGTGATCAATAAAGTGCGGGTCTTTCACCATGATAATTCTCAGCATGTAAAACAGGCTAAGCTATAAAAAAGTTGCCATGTCTATCTAAATTTGAGCGAATCTGAATTCTACAAATACTGGGCCACCTAGGGAATTGGTCATCTTCGAACACGATTAACTTTGTTTCAGGATAGAACTAGCTACTTTTTTTTGCGCTTAGTAGAAAGTACTACTCCTTCTCCAATCTCAGAAATCTCACTTCAAAAATCGCCAAACTGTGGAAGTAGAAGCAAACCAAAATCTCGTTTGTGCCATTTTTCGATTCAAATTAGAATCTCTCACACTAGAAAAAACCAATCGAGCTCCACTTCAATAAGAACTATGAGGATTAGAATACCGAATATATATTCTTGCCGCCTTCTTTCGCGATTCGCGTAGTAGAGTGCACTTATTGTTAGTATGTAGCCGTAACCCAATATTTTCGCAGTATTTTCTGTTTGCATAGGTAAGGAAAGGCGACTCTATTTTTCCCTGGAACAAACAATTTTCAAATTGTTTACTGTAGGAGAAGAAGGTTCAGCAGTAGGAAAGATGGAAAAAACACGGATGTTTGAAGGCTTCGAAGGTAAAGGGGTGTGGCACAACCCCAAAAAAGGTGTGGCAGCCACAGATTTTTAAGGACGCCCCATTAATTTACCTTCAAAAACATCTCTGGCGATGGTATTTGTATGATTGGATAGCTTAAACCCTGTAGATTTCGTAGGAGTAGATTGAGCCCGATTCTTCTTCCTTGCTCAGAGTAATAATTGGTGAAAACACAACCATTGAAATCGAAAATGGGACAAACGAGATTTTGGTTTGTTTTTCATTTCCACATTTTGGCGGTTGTTTGTAGCGAGATTTCTGTGTTGGGCAAAGAAAATAGTGATTTCTTCTGAGTTCAAAAAGAGGCAGCTGGTTTCTTTTTGAACAAGTTTATAGTGTTCGTACCATTTCACTTGGTGGCCCAGTATTTGCAGAATTCGCTTCAGAATTCGTTCAGATTTGGTCCACAGGGCTTATTCGACATGCTATCTTATATATAAAGCTGAATGTCTGTTTGTCTGTCTGTCTGTATGCCTGTCTGTCTGTCTGTCTGTACGTATGTTCCGAATAGAGAATTCCATTTCTGAACCGATCCGGACCAAACTTGGCACACATACACATCGGGCCCCGGCGGGTGTCATAGGCTACTTTTCGTCATCGATCGATATTGATTTTATCGATTTTTTGCAAAATTTGAGCTAGGGGGCTGGAATTTGGCAGGGGGTGTAATCGAGCATGCTGATCACCCCCACGGGGGGGGGGGATAAAATCGACATCGACCGATAATGAAAAGTGGACTGTGACACCCGCCGGGGCCCGAAGTGTATGCGTGCCAAGTTTGGTCCGGATCGGTTAAGAAATGGAATTTTCTATTCGGAACATACGGCGGAGCCGGGTAAGCCAGCTAGTTCATGCATATATCACTCATTATGCTTAGTGAGGCCTTCATGTTATGCCTATCTTAGGTTTTCAGTTGTTCAGGGGGTCTTAGTGAAATAGCAATTAGGGGAGGGAGTCGCATTCAACGATAGTGTGCCACACCTCTTACTTGACCCTAATGATGACTGTATCCTCATTACAATAATCGATCAATTTGTGGTGCCAAACAACTGTTTCATACTTTTCACAAAAAAGTTATTACGTTGTTAAGGGTTCCATAACACTAGATCTGACCTATATGAACTGGATAATGTTTTCATTGAGTCTCGGAACGTTCCGACGGCTGTCCTATCGATCCGTAGCGATAGAAGACTTGTGAATGGCAGCGGTCTACGCGCGCACCAGGCGTTCCTTATTCGAATGATACAAAGAGTGCCTTGTGTTAGCTTGCTCGGGTACTGTATAATTCGTAGCTTCGTAGCATCTGGTGCATTCAGCTTGTTTAGTTTGTAGCACTCCTTGTTTTTTCTTTTTCTCTGTGAAAGCTATCTCACGCTATCTATCGAAAATTGATGATAACGCACAATTTGTGATTATCATCTCTTGATCGTTTACAGTTCGGAAAGATTTTAAGAAGAGAAAATCTAGCGTACCTGAGAGATATTTCCTACTGAACGATCGTCTTCATTTTAGTCTTGTAAAGGTCATGGTGACATCTCTTGGAAGGCGTCTGGTGTCCTCTAGCAAAGGTCGACGTGATTCTGCCGCTTTTTGATATTCACTCATTCACAGAATCTCTGCTGGCATTCCTTCTACGACAAATCATCTCGTGTCACAGTCGGGCTGTCGTTTCTCAATTGCTTTCCTGAAACTTTGAATTAGTAGCTAATCATTTAGGTTAACAATGGTATATGATATAATGGAGGCAACAGAAACTCGATGGTGCATCTCCCATACTTTTCTCAGTAGTAAATCGCTCAATTACCACACATTTTAGGCGAAAGGATATCGGTATGATACTCCGATCCATTCAGTTACCTATATAAATACGTCTGTAGCTGTCAGCAAACCTAAGTGGTCAGCATATACAAAAGAAACAAGAAGCTCAACTCTTTATAAACTTCCCGCCTGCTACCAGCATCCTATCATCTCATCTTCCCACCAATCGATCATCACGCATCAAAAAGAAAAGTGTTGCTCCATAGCAAAGTTGCGCTTCTCTTGCACTTTTGCAAGGCGTCATTTCAAATGTTTACATTTTTAGCCGCGCAAAGCGCCAATATCATTTGTTGCAAGTGCATTTTACGTCTTTCACTTTGTATTTTGTGGATATCATGCTCATCTTGCCGGGTTAATGCAAAATTTTGCTAGAAATGAAAAAGACTCACAATACTAGCATGCAGGCTTTGCAGTACCGTTTTGTGATCAATATCGAATTTATTGCTGCGGCGCCCGGACCATCTAGGTAAGCAGTGATATGTATTTGAAACTGCTACGTTTCGAGAGTATTTTGGCAGACAAGTCCTTCCTCATTTCTTGGTTTCGCAGCTATTTTTACCATGGAGTGTTTGCTTGCAGCGGTTTAAGACAAAGATAAGGATTATCTAAGTGCTTAGAGTAAACACTACATTTCCTGTATGATATTTGACAGTGCCAATCATTACCATTAACAAACGGAATTGGTGGGACTGAGACTTGACCGAGTAACAAAGACCATTCACAGTCTGTGTCAATTACCATACTCATTCGCGCAGGAACTGCGCATCTGCCGCGAGCGCCTTGCGTGCGGACTCTCAATCCAAAAGGTCCGCTGAATTGCAAGCTACGCGCGTCCACGTGGCGCGAAGCTCCGGCGTAGCGTTTGCACCGATCGAGATGGAAGTACAGTCTGCCCCAATCCTAACCAGGCCAAAATTGGCTTGGCGGGAGTGCGCGTCGCGAGGGTTTCGCGCCACTTCTGCGTCTAGCTCGTCTGCTCTCTCCTCAATCTCTTCGCTCTCTGCGACAGCGCGCGAATGCAGCGCAAGCCCCTAGCGCTGCGAGCGCGCAAATCAGTCGACGATTCGGCCTTTTTCCGATTGGGGCAGACTGTAACTACGCTACTGACACAGGCTGTGAATTTGTGTCCCGTTAGAGTCATCTAAGGTGATAAGCATTGATTTGAAGCGTTTGTATGCTCTAGCAAATTTGGCGATGAATATGTAAACCATTTATCGTACGCACGGCAGGGCGCCACTGCGGATGCTGTCTGCGTCTCGTTGATCGAGCGCTCTTTCACCACTCTTGCTGTCTGTTGTCTCTGCCATGCACGAACTATCTTAGTCGGACGCAACGCGTCCAGTCTGTGGGCTGACGGATTTTCGTCAACGCAAGTATAGGGACTCATCACCTATACTTGCGTTTACGTTTGCGTAAATAGTGACCGTGCGCTCTCTACAGCACTTTCTCGCGAAAGTCTTATGCAAGTTGTCATTCAGAGGTAAGCATCTACTGCCGCGTCAGTGTTGTTGTCACCGCATATATGTGCACTGTCGGAGAGCGAAGAGATTGAAGAGAGCAGAGAAGCAAGCGGTAGACATGGCGCGACACCGTCGCTATGCGGTTGCGCATCACTCCAGTTTTGGTCTGATAGGACTGGGACACACTGTAGCTACAGTCGGTTTCTCCCGGATTAGGTGAAACATTCTAGGTGGAGCAGCGCGTGCGCATAGCGCTGGCATTTTGCCAAGCAAAAATTGAGGAGAATGAAGAGACGCAGGCTTGGCTTCTCAGCGCGATATGATATCTGTAGCTGCGAAACGGCGCGAACCGCTTGCGAGGCGGACGCCCGCCAATCCAATTTTCGCCTAAAGGGTCGAAATCACTATCTATATGTTCAAGCGTGTTTTATCGTAAAATCTCGGCTCCGAAGACGCTACTTATTTCGATATTCTTACTCTACGTACCCTTACTAGATATGATGCCAACTTAGTTCACACCATGGTTCCATTCATCTTCTTTTGAGAATAGAGTACCATATTTGCAACACTTCAGTGCTCTGATATCAGTGTCCTCACGTGCATGTCAAAATGTTCCTATTCTCGTTGCACTTTTGAAGCTGCTAATGTTTTGTCTTTAACTACATGTTTACATGACTTTTGGCAGATTTGCGTTCTCCATCCACAATTTCTGATACACGGATCCTCAGGTCAGTCTGATTTTGTTCTGTTTGTAACTTTTCTCTAGTAATGTACCGGTCCATTGCTTGCCTAGTTGATTATTAATGGCTGCACGGTATTGTTAGAGATCAAAAGAGCTGAGTTTTGCTGTGCTGATCCTGTTCGAAATGTCAACATGAGAAGCTCAATAGGTCGAAGCAAGCTCAGAATATGGCCGTTGTAGGGGGCACGAGGGCGGCGACAATGCGCGCAAAATGCAAGCAGTGTAAAGTCACCCTTAGGCACGCGCCATGCTTGATGCGCTTGATCCGCTTCGTCATTGGTCGATTCAGTGAACTGACCAGTAGCGGAGCGGTTGTACGCTTGATCTGTGCGTTCACTTCATTCACTTCATACTGGTCAGTTCACTGGATTGACCAATGACGAAGCGGATCAGGTGTTTTGAAGGCAGTGTCCAGGCAAATCTTAGCATATGGGTTTTTACCTGCAAACTGATGAGGAGGTTCTAGCTAGGGCACTGCCCAAACCGCAACGCAAATAATTCACTCACGGCTAAGAAATTCATCCCAAAACATCGCGGCTGTGCCGTGACCGTAGCACTTAGGGTGGATCCCAGCGCGAACGTAGTGTTAAAGTGAACGAAGTCGTTTTCGGGTTACGGTTACGACGCAGGCCCGGGGTTTTCGGGGATGGGCTTAGCCGTGAATGAACAGTGCGCTGCCTCTTGGGCAGTGCCTTAGTTAGGACCTTCTTATCAAACAGGCGAAACCTATATGCTCAGATTTGCCTGGACACTGTTTTTGAGCAGATCAAGTATGGCGCGTGCCTTACTAACTTTTACAAATTTTTACTTGTGGCATCGAGTCATATATCTACCCTCACCCCCCCCCCCCCACCTTGGCCCCTGGCACTTTGACACCGAGGAGTTCAAGGCACAAAATTTGAGGATTGTCGCCTTCCTCACCAAGCCGCCGTTATGTGTTGTCGTAAGAGGGGAGACCGCGCGGAATCTGTAACAATCACGCACCTTACGCGAGGAGGTGCGCATTTGTTGCAGATGTCGTGGGACATGCCACATATGGTCCTCTACCCGGTATGACAGTACCTGCAGGGTGTCCTCGATGGAATATCTTGGCAGTGGTCCAAGAACTTGCGCATATTGATTGCGTAAAGCGTGGGCATGTAGTGGCATTAGCATCACGTCTGCATCGTAGAGCGGTAGGCTGCTTCCTTTTCCAAGTATCATTTTTCAGCTGCTTCCTTATGACTCGGGTAAGTAGTCGTCTGTTGTTACATAACGCTTGTCAAGAATTGGCCCTCAAGCCATCTCACGAATAATATTCTGAGTGGATGTAGCCGATGTCGGTCATACCTTGTCCGGTTTTATTTTTATATATCTAAGCTCAATTTGGGGACACAGAGGGGACGTCAGATCACTATACTGCAAAGTATGTAGGCCAAGGCATATACAGGGTGTCCCAAAAAAATGTGAATACTGTTTGATCGCTAATAGCTCCGTTGCTTTCATGTCTTTCGCCGAGCTTGAGGCACCATTTTATAGAGCGAGGTTTAACTTAGATCTACAGTGTGGAGCGAATCGCCGATCTCTCTTCATTACTGTAGGAATACGGTAGGAACTTCGACAAGGATTTTATGCCTTTGGAGGCCATATTCTGCCTCAGAACAAAACCAAACAAGCCGAAAGCTCTTATGTTATGGTAATGGAAGTCGCTGAGTTCGAATATGAAAATTCCACTTTACTGTGATGCTTCTTTCCAAGGTTATCCCAGCTAAACCGTAAAAATGAATTTCCAGCATTTGTCAGAAATGTGACTACACCGTCAAAAAAGCTAAAAACAGTAAAAAGTTGTGTAATGAAGTCAGCGTGCGCGAGAACCCTAGTACACGATTCAGACTTTTGAAAAAAAATTTTTCAAATGGCACATCTCACATAGATCCACATGCTAGAAGTTCATACCGTAATCCTACAGTAACGAACAGCGATCGGTGATTCGCTCCATACTACAAGTCTAAGTTGAACCTCGCTCTACAGTGGTGCCTCATGCTCGGGAAAGACATGAAAGCAACAGAGTTATAATGATCAAACAGTGTTCACATTTTTTTGGGACACTATGAGCAGCAGCGGGTCCAGTTGGCTAGAGGCTCTGGCAGGCTTCAGATCGCGCTCGAATCCGATTGTATTCGCCGCAGATTGTATTACTAATTTGAACAGGTGCTTCAGGAAAAGCCTACTTTCGACATTTTTGCTAAGCGAGGTAACCCACAAAAATTTTCAAATTCAGGAATTTGCAGGGACGCGGTCCCCTGTGACCTTGCACACCTTGGTGTAGGCAATTCGTAGACGTACGCTCTGACCATACACTGACCGTACCTGCGGCGGCTGCGGCGTGCGGCAGCGTCACCCACATTCGAAATTGGTGAGACCTTTGGCAGCACAATAAGGTCTTTGAAAAAGCAAATCCCGTGGCAAATGATTAGTCCGAAGCAAGATAATTGCTTCAAGCATGCCCATGAAGTAGCTGGTAGAAGTATGAGCTCGAAATTGAACTTCACAATTTATAAATGTCGAAGTCGTGAGTCCTATAATAAAAGATTTCTAATGCGACATTTTTAAGTACAAGTATTAGTGGTCTAGTTTCAAGTGTACATGGCGACCCCATCAGCATCTACCGTCTGGAGCGATTTCTTCGCATCGACGCCTTTGGCAGCGGGACTTGAGCAGTTACTTAGGGGCCTCGCCTTTGATCTGCAGTCGAATCTCCACCCAAATCGGGTGGACGGTACCTCCAAAAGTTGTGGGAGCACAACACAATAGGCGATGTGTATCGGGACAAGATCTCACTGCGCCTCGCGGTGTACGGGTCAGGAGTCACGATTTCCCGCGAAGCAAGGCTGCAACGCGGCTTCAAGCAGTGCAGGCCTCAGCTCCCTCTACTTATGGCGTCGAGTCATGTAAACTTATCAAACGCAGTGTCGCTTGCATCAGCATCTCCGTTCCCGCGCTGGACTCTGCATCTCTTCCGCGAACATGCTTTCTGAGAAACGGAGCCTCAATCGATTGGAAGTGATTAAAGAGCATGTTCGCGGAAGAGACGCAAAATCCAGCGCGGGAGTGGAGATGCTGATGCAAGCGACACTGCGTTTGATAAGCCCTGTATCTGCCGCCACCCCCCACCCCTACTATGGCACCGTGCCAATTTAGCACGGAGAGTTTTTGTGAGGCACAAAAATTACCCGCGGCGAGCGTTTGCCGCGCGCGGTGTGGCTCCTGCCCGTATAAGGGCCGCATGATCGCGAGAGTCGGACGTGCGTACGGCCATTGCGCCGCGCACCTCAGGTGCGTCCCACGATTCAGGTAGATGCCAGACTTATTCTTTTTCAACAGGTTCATTCGGTTCACCACCTTTGCTGTTGGACACTGTAGTGCTTTGACATATGAACCGAACGAACCGGTTGGAGCGGATAAGTCTGGCACCTGCCTTAGTGACATCGGAGTACGCGGCGCAATGGCCGTACGCACGTCTGACTCTCGCGATCATGCAGGCCCCTATACCCACACCTCTAGTTTTTGAGACCAGTTTACATGCCCAAGCCATACGCGAACGGATGTTGGGAAAGAGTACAGAGACGAGCTTCTGTCTTCAATTAGGCATGGGATAATGGTCGGAAAACATGAGCGGCGGCGAGGCGGCCGCGCGGGATCATAGACGCGCGATTCGGGCTTACACTAAATGAGGCAGAGGGTATCATCCTGGAATTTAGCTTCGATTTGGATCGAGTGTGCACAATTCGAAGGCCTTCTTAGCAAGGGCCATTTTTGATACGCTTGATGCGCGGCTCGATAAGATTTGAAATGCGAGAACTGTTGGAAGTGATTGGAAGGAGAACTGTGGAGGTGCTCTGCTACGTGTGGTATTGATGCGATCGCTGTTGACAGCTTTGCGATTAGAGGGAAGCGCGTTGGCATGGTCGCAGCGAACCAATCAACGTACTAATATGATCTAGTTAAGTACAAGGTGGTCCCTTTTTAAAGTTGTGTAAATCTAGGTAGAGATGTCTGCTGGTGAGGGGAGCGGGAGCGGTGACCCGCGTGCAACCGGGAAAGCAGGTATGTTTGTGCATCTTCGCAATTTGTATCCTTAGCTCAGTTCAGAGTACATTTTTCAGCTGTGAGCAAAAAAGACATCCTCAGTGAGGCGGAAGCAAAGCTGGCTGCACTTTCGGTAAGCCTGGAACTATTTTTTGTAATTGTTCTCAAAGGCAGTGTCAGGTAGATGTCGGAGCTCAGTCTCCCCAGTTTATTGAAGCGGGCTGCTCATGCAAACCATAGCCCGTTGGGATTGCCAAATATTGCTTTGAAGCGAGAAAACCGCATCAGAAATTTGAACACGCCCTTCGGTCGATATCGAAGAAGGAAGTCGTCTCGTGGGACACACTCGTTGGGACCAGGGTCAAGCTGATGCGATCCTAGACCCTCTTCTATGACCCCCCCCTTGAAGGTACCTCTCCGTAGGGCTCCCCTCCTCACCTCAGAAATAGAAATAGATAGATATAGAACAGAAACAGATAACTACTTACAAGTTGGGAAATAATGCAAGTAATGCCTCGCCATTCAAAAACCAACTCACACATAATTCTGCGTAGATTGGGTAAGTAGTAAAATTTCACGAAGATTTGGCTATGTTTATTGTGGTTGGGAAAATATGAATGGGGACATTATCTGATAAAGCAGAACATCGATTCCAATCTGAATGATAATTAAGCGTTACTTTGAGATTTACAAATATGGACAGTCACCGTTGGTAAAGATATGGGATTTTGTTGAGTGTGTGAGACTTCAATGGGGCTTCGGAAGCAGAATTTCTGAGCCAAGGGGTGCGTGCAACATCTCTGGCACGATACACACCTTCAGTAATGTTTGGGTTTCTGCAATTTTTTTTTTGAATTTTCAAGCATACTTCTGGCCAGCAAATTCGGTCCCCCTACGCGATACCATTTTTTCGAAGGGAGCAAAAACGATATATTCGAAGCGTAAAATATATTTTCGACTAGAAGGCTTACTTCCTACCTTTTGCACAGACTTTCGTGCGAAAAAAAACTTTTAGCGCCATCTAGAACGATGTCAAAAGGTGCATGAGCACGGTATTTTGAAAATTCGTGACTAAAGGCAGGGAAAGACTGAGAAGCTGCAATGAACAGACTTTGTAGTATACTGCCCATACTATCCATGGAAAAAGTTTCAGCCATTGAGGAGCAGTAAGCTCGAAAAAATTTAGATGCGACTCTCGCAAATTTAGATGCGATCCTAAAAAGCAAAAAGTGGGATTTTTAAGCTTGACATTTTGTATCTCACCGGAGAAGTTATGAAACGGCTTGAAATTCTTATGATAAAAAGTAGAGGGATGGCTTCGTATTACAGCAAGTTTGCAGCTAACAATCTTTAGTAGCTCCGGAGATTTAGATGAGGCGCAGATACGACTCCTTTTTCTCATTTTTTGCTACCATATATATAAAAGAAAATCCACAGTTGACAAAGTAACACCAAATTTTGCACTGATATAGCAGAGCATCTCCAAAGTACAGATAAATCATATGGGCCCGTGAAAACATTACAAAAAGATTTAGAAATTCATGAAGGTCACAGTTGGTAAAGATATTCGCTTTTGTCGTGTGTGTGAGACTTCAGGCAAGGCTTCAGAAGCAAGATTTTTAGGGCAAACGGTACATTTAGCATTTTTATCAAATCATACATCCTTCAAAAGTGTTTTGAGCTCTTGCAAGTGTTTTTTTTTTTGAGAATTTCCACAGATTTTTTACCTTTTTTATTCTGATTTCCACTTTTTTATACATTTATTGTAAAGAACATAACTTATCTGCTTTTTGATTCCCTTTTAAGCTTAGGGTATTTTAGTCTAACTACCTCCTCTTATGACCCCCTCCCCCCACTTTAGGTACCCTCTTCACGACCCCCCGTTGCGACAGTCGCATCACAAGCTTGACCCTGGTTACGACGCTGTCGTAGGCTGCAGCGGCTTGTGTCGCCATGATTTCCTGTCGGTAAGGACTGAGGAGCGTATTGTTCAGAGTTCTGAAGCGATTTTCTCGCTTCAGAAGCAACATCTTGCAGTCCCAACTGGGTTATGGTTTGCATGGGTAGCCCACACTTCAATAAACTGTTGAGACTGACTGCTCGCAAGCCTGCTCGGACAGTGCCTTTAATGTTCATTACTAACGCTGTTGTTTGCAGTTGAAGCCTGCTGAAGCCGTCATGGCTAGTAACGCCCCAGCGGGTACTTTGGGAGCACCTTTCACGATTCAAACAAATGCATTCGGTCTGAAACTGAAAGAACCAATGACTTTCTGGCGATACGACGTCTTGATCTATGCAGAAGTCAAGGGCGGTAGAAAGACCGTGTTTTTCACAAAGAAGGGACGTGAAGAGTATGTCTTCAAGTTATTCTTCTGCATCGTATTCTCTAGCTCAATACTCTTTATAACTCTGAATTTGAGCAATCATGTTATTTTCTTGGATGCTTATAATATATGCAGCCTTCAGAATAACCAGAGCTGATTTCAGCTACGTTATCACCAATCGCAACTATAAATGCAAACTCGTCTTCGATGCTGTCGTTAAGTCGTACCCGGATTTCTTTGTCGAGCCTGACCAGTTGTGGTACGATGGGCAAAGTGTACTTGTTGCCGGATTTGACTTGTACAAGAATCAGGAGAGGGTATGTGCTCTTTCCCCAATAGAAATTGAATCGCTTTTTGCACCTTAACTCTCCGCATCTTTGCAAACGAAAAATGCAAAAAAGGTATAGTTGAGGTCAAGATCTGGAAAACTCGGATAAGGCAGATGTAACTTTAACTACTCTATTTTTGACAGTTGTGAGCTGGCCTGGGCGCATCGGTCTTGTTTGTGACAGATTTACCCGGTTCAAGCGGTTGTCTGGGTCACTCATCCGCTACTAGGCAGATCAATGAGTTGACCAGTAGCGAATGGGGTGGCGGATGAACCGGTTTTCGGTTAAGTCTGGCACCCCTCTGGCCTCGCAAAGCGGTTCTCTGCACAGTCTATCAGCCAGGACTACGGTAGTGAACACCTGCGAATTCCTTTGGTTTGCCAGTTTATACTAGAGCAAAAAAATGCGGCGTGTGCACGGCTTGAATGGGTTATATGCCTACTTTTATAGTGGTATCGTATCGCCTCTCCGTAGTCTTGGTTATGCCTGGTTGAGCACCTCGCGTGACCACTTCGGCGGCTGGCTGGATTCGGATACGCTGCGTTTGGTCGCTTTCAGTCTGCTTCCGACCGCTGTCGTGCTTATCAAGGTGGCTTCGTCGATTCGCATGGCAGGTATCGGATCTGGATTCAACCCGGGTCGCTTCGGGCGGGCGACTGGAATTTCCAAAGACTGAAAGAAGCAATGTTCCTTACTCTGTACCAGTGGCACCTAGAACTTCCGTTTGAGGAGGGGGGGGGGGAACACAAACAGTTTTTTCAAGGGGGGGGGGGGGTGCGGACAACCACGCACTTCGAAAACTCTTCTGAGATGCCTTCCAAAATTTCTGCGGGCCCGTAACCCCGAAATTGTGGAAAAAAAGGGGTGCGGTGGCAGCAATACCCCCTAAAAAGGTTTTTGCACAGAGGTAGTTTGAAGTTTTCACAAATTTTCGAAAATTCTTTCAATTATTTACAAGTATAAACAAGTCATTTGCACATTTTGTAACCCTAATTAACTTGAATTTCTGACCCATTCTCCCCTCCCCCTTCCAAGACCGGGCCAGACACCCATTGCTCTGAACTTAGGAATCAGAGCTACCTGAATACTGCTTACTAAAGGCCAAACAAGTCTGCCGCTGCTTTCGCTGCAATATATGAACTGCTAATTGTTGTAGGCGAGCTTAGAAATTTGGACCGCGCGCTTTCGTATCATCGTTCACATGATTGAGGTCTTTCAATATGCGATCTTATCACGAGATTTTTCCAGCTAAGAACACCGATGCTTTAGGGTCAACGTAAGTTTGAAATTTCTGGACAAGACTGTGGTGATTTGCTGTCCGCTATACCCGTCATTATTTTCGACATCTCGCCCGTTGCGGATAACCAATATGTATGCCATTTACTTCTAATCCAAGTCCAACAGAATTACAATTTCCAGTTGCAGATATCGCTAAACGAAAGACTGTTGCGAGATTGTACGGCCAACTCTGATCTTACCAAGAATGATCAGACAATTCATCGATTGTTGGAGCTAGTGTTCAGTCAAGTCGCCGTGAGGAATCCGTATGTCACGCAATGGATGTATTTATCTTCTCTGCATATTGTGCTTTAGGCAGGATTTTACCAATTTTGAGAACGGGAAAACATTCATAAACGAACCGTGGAAATACGGATTCACTGAGAGAGATTGCCCCGAAGTGGGAGGGGGCAAAAGACTCTATCCAGGGATACAAAAAAGCGTAAGATTTATCGAAGGTCCCGGTGGACGTGGCTACAACAATCCTAGTCTCATCATTGACGGTAGGTGTATAAGACAGGCTCAGTAAACGCCATAAAGCGGGTTGGGCTCGACTGAGTAAAGAGCTTGGTATATCACCAAGTAATTCTAGCAAAGAAAGCAGCATTCCACGAGAATATTACCCTAATTGAGAAAGCCAAGGAGCTCATAAATGATGATCTACAGAGAAAGGTTTCTGATATTGCTTTGAGAAGACTTCATCATGGCATGAAAGGTTTGCTTTAAATCACTGGTTAAGCTCTTTTGATATCAGAGTTGTTGAATGCAGATGTTTGTCATCTAGATCTGTGGTTCTACACGAAGCATACTGGCTATGAAAGCGACCACCAAATTGCTGGGATCTCCGAACACACGGCGGCTGAAACCACGTGGGTTTCACGAATGTCCTTTTGGCAGATAGAGTGCTCCAGTTTTCTGTAAATGTGCTTCTTACAGTTTTGAGGGACCAGACGGTAGGACGATTAGCATAGTCGATTATTTCCAGAACAAGTACAACATCACGATCAGGTGAGTCTCTCACCGCGCGCCTTCTCGTCACAGCAATTCAAGTGATTCAGCATATCTAATCATCAGTGGCGGAAGCAGATATCATTTAAAAAGGAAGGGGAAATAGGCAGAAATCTAAATAGCATATCTAATCATCAGTGGCGGAAGCAGATATTATTTAAAAAGGAAGGAGAAATAGGCAGAAATCTAAATAACGAAGAAGTTGCGCTTTGGAACTCTTGCTAACCAGTCGGAAAGTGTGTAATTCGAAATTGAATGAGGAAAACGTGTCCCCAGGACGCTCTTAAAAGTTTATCAACAAGCTTGTATGCCTTTGCACGATTCAAGTAATTGTTGTAGCCTGTAAATTAAGCCAAGTTGCTTGCATAATCTCGGAACCTATAAAGAACAGTTTCATTTAGTTGAAACACAGCCTCCCGGCCTTAATGCGCAAATTATCACCCAATGTTAAGTATGTATATCATTCAGGTATCCGAATGCGCCTCTTGTGAAAGTTCGTGAACGTGGTAGAACTAACAGTTATCCTATGGAGCTGGGCTGTCTTAGACCAATGCAAAGAGTCACGATTGCACAGCAGACACCCGATCAAATTCACAGAACCACGAGGGTATGTGCGAAAAGACCTTCGAACGAATTATTGCTAGGAAATAGTTTTATCATAAATACAAAATCTATGCATACATTCTGTACATGAATACAAATGAGCACACATTTCTATCCGGGTCAATTTGTTTGCTTCTCGTCAAGGCTGAACGAGTGGGCATTTGAGAGAAATTTGCCATGTCCCGACAATGTTTAGAGTTGTGCCGTGCCGCCCGGCGAACGTCAGGATAATATTGTGAGGGGTGCGCGGGCTGTGGAACTCTTTGGATCTGATGACAACTCTTATGTTCAAAGTGCTGGACTTTACATTTATAAGGAGCCTGTCAAGGTAAACATTTCCGCTTGTATCAAGGTAAACATTTGCGCTTGTAAGTTAGTATGGATCCATCGCTAATTGTAGGTCCACGGAAGACTGCTCCCTCCACCAAAAATCAAATATCAGAATGAAACCGCTTTTGTCAAGGAAGGGAAGTGGAGGTAATGTTCAATCCATTAGTGTAGTATTCATCTACACAAACTCGTAACAGAACTCCTCGTGGACCACTGCTTGTACCAGCTGAGTGCGATGTATGGGCTGTGTATGCTCTTGTACCCACTCACGAGGCGGGCAGGTTCGATGAACGAATGCTACGGTAATTTTCAGTTTATTGTCCTTTCTCTTTAATTTTGGCGAAAATTTTTAGCAACTTCGCTGAGAATTACTACCGAGAAGCTAATTCGCGCGGCATCAAAATCGGTGCTCCGGCTGAGATCAAGGTATTTCCGCATTGCGATGCAACGAATCAAAATAGGACTGTCGAAAATTAAGCTCTGTTCAGTTGCTTACATCAGAAAAGGATCTTGAGGATAGAATGAAAACCGCTGCGAATTGTAACTGCAAGTTCTGTCTCATTGTTACCGCTGACAGTATAACTACCGCGCACAGTAGGTTTCGTTGTTAGTTATAAAATGTTTATGAATTACCCTCAGCTTCGTTAATAGCACCTTCAACGGGTGACCATCAGAAAAGCCCTCATCTTCTTATCAGGACCATTGCTGTTTTGACTCGTTCTTATTTTTATGATTCCGGCGAAGTACTGCGTTGAATTAATTCTGCTCGGAGTGGAATGTTCTTACTATTTATGACTGATTTTTCAGAGCAGATTAAGCTTTGGGAAAGGGAGCTGGAAATGGTGACGCAGGACGTGAAGTTATCAAATGCAGTCAAGGTGAATTCAGCGTTACTTCGATTACAAAAAACTCACACAGTTCTCTTCAAGGTTGTCAGCGAAAGACGTGTTGTTACCCTAGAAAACATAATTCTCAAATCGAACCTGAAATTAGGCGGACTAAACTACGAGATGGACTTGGATGGAATCTTGCCGAAAGAGGGGACGAAGTGGGTTTTGTTGTTATCTATTATATGAACGATGATTGGACTCCAACTAAAGAGTCCGGCGCAAAGTCAGATATTCAGAGACTGGATCCGTCCTGGTCGTCTTTTCCTAGGGATTGGAGTCAGTCATCCTCCTCCATCAGCCACTTACGATCCTGAAAAAGGTGCCCCTTCTGTTATTGGAGTAAGTGCCGATCAAAGTCGCCGAGTTCGGTCATTTGTTGTTCATTCTCCCTTATAGTATGCTGCCAACTTCAAAGCCAATCGCTTCGACATAGTCGGAGATTATCTTTTCCAAAGCTCGAGGAGAGAGGAGGTTAGCTAATTCCATTCTATCTCATCCACTAGTCCTTGTTACAGACACTCTCAACGATGTCTGAAGTAGTCAACAATGTGCTGCCAAAGTTTGCCGAAAATCACGATAAGAAGTTTCCTCGAGATCTCATAATTTACAGAAGCGGTCTGTCGGAGGGCTCCTTCAGCACTGTTAGTTTTGGCGATAAGTGAAGTAATCACTGTTTTCTTTTCTTAAGGTACTCACTCATGAGATACCCCTTCTTCGTGGAACTCTTTCTGCTTTGGGTGCTAAGAACATCAAAATTGTCTTTATTGTTGCACAAAAAGAACACAATGTCCGCCTTATGCTAGATCGCGTAAGTTCGCATTGAATGTTCCTAGTATATGTGGTGTTTGATGATGTGTGGTTTACAGATTGAACGCTCTCGCAAGCCAACCGATCAGAATATCCCACCTGGAATCGTAGTGGATACCGAACTTACCCATCCCTCTTTCAAAGAGTTTTACCTCAATTCCCACATTACTTTACAGGTGTGACATATCTTATCAATAAATTTTTGTTACAATGCACCATTTAGGGGTCTGCTCGCACTCCAAGATATACTGTCTTGGTTGACGATCTCAATCTATCTATGGACGAATTGGAAGGAATGACCTATGTGTTGACATATGGACATCAAATTGTGAACCTCCCTACTTCACTGCCCACCCCGCTTTACGTTGCTAATCGATATGCTGAACGGGGCAGAAATACCTACACCGCCCATGCGTAAGTTTGTCCAGAATGGACGCTGCCTTTGATCTTATATGTAGATGTCTATACCAGTATATATCTTTTGACATTCAAGGCAATCCTCGGGATCTAGCTCATCTGATTCTGGAGCTTCGATAGACTATGGACGTCTTGCGCACCGCTTATCCTACACTCACACGAAGTTGGCGAATGTTCGTGTCAATGCTTAGTTGATACACCCGTACATGTCCTCCTCCACATGAATGCTGCGACATCGCCACTTAGGCCATGTCGTCAAGTTCTTAAACCGTCGGCTGTAGCAAGTTACTGTTAATAATGTTCGTTCTGAGTTTTGTTGAAAATTGTTCAGTTTATGTATCTTTTATGCACAAGTAATCAAGCATTCTTGCTATCGAATAATCAAGCATTTTTGCTATCCTGCCATAATCTCAATTTTGGCGGTTATATACAGGTATCCGTTAAGTATGCTACAAGTGCTATATTTACTACTTAGAGTATTTTGAGTTCCATTTTTCTTAATGCGTTTGGTTTTTTCAAATGAAGAGTTGGTTTCTATCTTGCAGTGCAAATTTCGTCGTTTACAAGATATTCACAAGTATTAGGAGAAATGGGAGAACATCAGTGATGGTGAGATTGTCAAAAGATTCATGTTGACGCGATTAAAGGCACCGTCCACCCAGATTCTCGACTTCTAGGTTTTTGTCGTTTCACGGCCTTCTCATGTCCCTAATTCCGATTATGAAGTCGAATCTGCGAAAACCCCGACATTTCTGTTCCGGAGAACCCACAGGCCGGCTTTCTGGAACGGTGATAGGATGGGCGCGCACAAATGGGCGGGCATGGATGGGAGTCCTCGTGCATATTCGTTAATCCGGAGCGATTTTCTGCTTCCGAAGCGACATTTTGCGCCGCGACTTGGGCATTGGCTTAATAGGGGTCCCTACCATCATATGCTGCTAAAAGCTCAAACCCCCAATCTAGGGTGGACGGTGCCTTTGAGGACAGCATTCGGCCGCGTTTTGCCGTATTAGTCATAAAGGTTTTGTGAGAGGATAGTATAGTTGGATCGCGCAAATGTAGAGGATATTAGAGCACTTTTGCTGACGTGAGTTGATCTATCTCATGTGTGGCACTGACTTCGTCTTTTCTAGCGAGAGAGTAAACACTGTCGTACTGTGATGCGTATGATTTCACATTTTTTTAGGCGCACTTGCAGAGAGGGGGGGGGGGGGAGGCGCACGGGGAGACAATACGCGAAAAAGCAAGCATTATATTCTCCTGTCCAAGCAACGTGCAAAAGGGAGGAAAACCACATCACTAGGATAGCGGTGGAAGACGTAAGAGACTTAGGGGATAGAACCAAGATGGGGTGGATGGACAGGCCCTCTGTTTGCCGCCGTACTATTTGAGCAGCGAAAGATTAGTCTTCGCGTGGGTCCCGCCTTCATAGAATCTGCTTTTCTTGTCAGGTATCTTCAAGCTTTTCTATGTGAGACAAGTTCTCCAAGCACCAAGCATCTATATACCTCAAGCATTTGCAGGTCGTTGATCCTGTCCATCCACCTCATCTTGTTATATCCCCTAGGTCTCTTTCCTTGTCATCCACCGCTATCCTAGTAATGTGGTTTTCCTCCCTTTTGCACACTTCTTAAGCTACCGTAACTCCTTCTGCATTTCCTGGGCAATTGCAACTGCTATAGGTCAGTGCAGTTGACTTATTGACTCCCAAGGTCCATTACCGTGAGGCCCACCATATGACTTCATGGGGCACCTTATCGAAGGCTTTCTCCAGGTCTAGGAAGGCTGCATGCAATTCCTTCTGCTTCTCTCTATACTTCGCCATCACTATCCAAGCGAAGAGGATGCCTTCGTTTTTACCTTCTCCTTTGCGAATCCGCACTGTTTCTGATAACTCTATGGTATCTAGAAGCCGCGTTTCGATCATTCGCTCATTCGTAGAGTGCGGGTCATCAGTCGGACTGGTGAGTAGGATGAGCAGCCTGTTGTTCTCCTTTATTCCTCCATGTCGGAATCGTTGTGCTGGTATACCAGTCGGAGGATAATCTTGCTCCTTGTGATTTGAACGAGGAGACTTGTTAGCCATGAGGCTACAGATTGTAAACATGCTTTCCAAAATTCGCTTGGTATGCCGTTTAACCAGTCCCTTTGTCATTCTTTGTTTTCACAGGCTGTCGTCCCGACGCTACCGTAATGTTCTATTTCCATTTCTCCTTGGCCGGAGTGTCGTAGCCGACGCTACCGTGATATTCTGTTTCCATTTCTCCTCGGCCGTAGTGTCGTAGCCGACGCTACCGTGATTGTTATTCGATGATCATGTACTGATGTTTTGTACGATTCCGCGAACCCAGTTCGCAAAACAGTGTTTTTGTCTTGTTTGCGATTGCATCAAAAAAGGAAGCTGCCAGCTGGCACCCTTCCGAACACTTACAAGTTGGCTCCTCCCTTTTGAAAGGCCAGCTGTGATTGAGTTGTAAGCCGGAGAAAACGACATTTTCATAGTGTTTGTTACAATTTGCCGGGGAACTCGGCTCGGAAATAAAGCAGTTGATCCATCCGTGTTTAACAGAAGCACGGTAAAATCAAAAATCCACTGAACCCCAGCACACGATGGGAGTACAGTAGATGGCTAAAAACTCCGAATTCACTCGAAACTTTTTTGCATGGAGGGGCTCACAAGCATTCTGATAACGAATATTATGTCCGTTCGATGCAACAACGCCTCATTAAGCATGATTGCTAATCAGCATGCTTAAGAACCCCTCTATGCAAAGCTCTGAGCAAGTTCGGAATTTTCAACCATCTACTGTATACCTACCGTAGTCCGGAAAATCGACGCTATCGTGCAAATGAGTATGATGTTCATGTTTAGCTTACCAAATATCCTCCCCCTTCCCCCACCCCTCCCCAGACAAAGTTTGGGGCAAACCGATGACTTTGATCCCCTACCACAGTCCTACCGTTACTCCACCAGATGGCACTGCCGTGCGAAGTAAACGCAGTGTTCCTCAGTGTAATAACCTCCCTACACGAAGTTCTAACGAAATCCGCGGTTTTCATTTGGGTCAACTAATGAGGGATAGTACCAAAGCGAGCAAAGGCTTGAACTACAACCGCCGAAAATGGTTAATTACTGCTATTCACCGCCGCTTAATTCCGCATGCGAGCGGTCGCAGCGTATGTATGCGTCGCGGTCCCGGGCACTAGTCCAGAAAAGAAAAGTTGGAACTGTGCCGGAACTTCCGCATCAGCACGAGTCAGTCTAAAGCACGAGTATGAACTTCTTTACGTACGCATGTTTCCGTCTATCCCCATAGAATGGGTGACATCCATAATTTGTTCAACCGGGAAGCCAAAGCATCTACTATGGAGCGGCGCTTTGAGCCCTGAGGCAAACTTCCTAGCGGCAAGCACTGGACTGGTGTTTCGCCCTTTGCAACAGTTACCCACTGTTGCAAAGTGGGCTCATCTCTTCATAATCTTGAACAAGTAGAAATGAAAGAACTGACTTTCCTTTTGCTATAAGAAAATCGTGCGTTAACGCGCTCTATCTCGAGGTGAGCGCGGTTGGCGCGGACGCGTTTCGACGCAGAAAGCTCCATCAATTTTTCGATTCTTGTTTTGTTTTACTTGCTCAGAACTTCGCAATTAGCACTGCACTCTGTTTTTTTTTTCTTAGAAATAGTCTGTTTGAAACTTTGGCGAACAATCCGTTCTGGGCGGAACACCATTCCTACTTTTCGCGCATTACATGCCTGCATCCTTGTGGATAAACGGAAGCATAATGTGAAAGTCATCTGACTTCAAGCTAAAGAGCGTGAGAATCATGTAAGGCATTTCGTTTTTGAAAAACTCATGCGAGGTGCTTCGCTTTTTGATAGATTGTGGATTTGATGATATAATTAAAATTCCTATTTACATCATGTCTTACAGTTCGACACCAGTAGGTTTTCTGTATAAATTGCAATCTGGCTAACACTATTGCTTGCATATACAAGGCGCTGGCGTTTTTGCCTTATGAATAATGAGTGACATAATCCGTAGTTTTCGTCGTAGTTAGTTTTCCCTTGTTTTCCCTATATAATCACCCCTGTTTTTCAAGGAGCAAACATGACTGACATGGACATTGAAAGCAATACACCACCACCGAATGCACATGAATCAACAGAAAATGGTTTGTTCTTTCGTATAAGTTTGTTGCTCAGTATGGCAAAGTCTTGTAATTGCAGGCAATCACAGTCAAGAGTTTTCCGTTGAGCTTCCTCCTTCTGAAGCGCAGAAAGCCGGGGTGAACTCAGCTTCGACGCCTGCTGCTCCTTCAGCATCTACGGTGCATGCTGAGACTCTGGTAGCAATGCCTGTGCTCCAGCAACATGGCGAGGTGAGGTTGTTATAAAGAGATCTGCTGTTCCTGTACACTCATCCAAAATCACTGTAAAAGGCATTATTTGTGATGTCAAAATTGCGATCTTTCATGATAGGGCAATTTCACTTACATTTTCAGTATTTAGGCTAATGATATTGTCAGGATTTGGGGCTAAAATGGGCTCCGCCCTGTTTTGATCAGAAACACACTATCAAAGTGTCAGTTATGTTACGTTCGCAAAATTTGGGTGCACTTAGCGCCAGTACACGTACAACATGAAAGTTTCTTGATTGCCGATACCTTGCTTGATGAAAAGGAACTGGCAATCATAGAGTTCTTTGAAAGATTACACCATGGGATCAGTATCCTGGAGAGGGGTAATTTCACTATGATATGTGGACTCTACTCGGTAAGATTTTGTACCATCGAGCTGTCTGTTTCTGATGGCCTTCCTTTCATGCAGTTTCTTTGCGTAACTGTTGTGTCGCGTCAAAGGGCCACACATTTATAACAGGCATAGTCCTGTGAAAAGAGATTTCATCTATTTACTGTTGTGGATTGTCATACATTTTCCGAACTTTTTCTATATAAGGTCATATGCAATGGGAAATTTGCTTCCAAGTTGGTGATGTAATAAATAGAAAATTCATGAAATTACTTTTTCACACATTGCCGTCTATATCATCTTATCAAGATCAGACTTACATCAGTTTTTTTTTATTTCATATAAGGAGTTGAGGTTGAGATTACACTAGACTTTTGGATGAGTCTGCAGGGACTGTGCCGGTTTCCTTTTTCGCTATCGACTCATCAAAGGGAAGACCACGGTTTTGTTGACCAACTGATGTCCAAATTTAGGTGTTTGTTGGCCCGGGATCGAAGCGCGAAGCGCAATTGCTAGGTTTAGGCCTGACAAAGTTGAGTTCTAGAAGGAAAGACGACCTGCAGTTGGCCAAACGCTATGCAATGGATGTTTCCATTAAACAGATTATGCTGCGACAACAGAAGGCTCATCACGAAAACGCGAGTTTTTTTTCTGAAGCTCCTTTACGCTCTTCCAAGATTACTATTGTCAACATTTGATTTCAGCAACAAAAGCAGGCTATGTATGCACAGGCGCTATCTCTCATGGCACGAGTGTACATCGGATCGATCTCTTTTGAAGTAAGGGAAGAAATGATCAAAAAGGCCTTCGAAGTGTATGGTCCTATCAAGAGCATCAACATGAGCTGGGATCCGACCACAGGCGTATGTTTTCTTTATGAGAAAGATTTTTGTATAATGCAGTTGATTGCTTACAGCATCACAAAGGATTTGCGTTTTTGGAGTTTGATGTGCCAGAAGCGGCCCTTCTTGCGCAGGAATCTATGAATGGACAACTAATGGGTGGACGAAATCTGAAGGTATCGGTCATTTTATTATGTTGCTCTGTAATATCCAGGAGTTTGCAGAACGTGTTAGCATTTCGCTGCCATGATGCGCAGCATAGTTTTTTGCATCAAACTAGGTTACACGCTGAAGTGACTTGAGAATCTTATATCCATCACGGGATGTTCATGTAGATGGTGTTCTCTTCTTGGCTTATTTTGTCTTTTGAGGTTGGTCGTCCATCCAATATGCCACAAGCACAGCCCATCATTGAAATGGTGCAACAGGATGCAAAGAAATATCACAGGTGATTATATTTTCTTCAGTGCAATCAGGAAATTATTTGCATCCTTTACAAATGTAATTTCCTTCATTGGTCTGTTTTTAGGTTCATTTTTCTGATACGTCATGTTAGCGACGACAACTGCCCTAGAGTCTTTTAGCTTGTTTGTAGAGATTAATTACTTGATGGTTTCGATCATCTAATTTTGTCTTGAAGCGTTATCTTTTGCTTATCAATCAAACCCATATTTGTTGTGCTTTTTTTAATTACAGAAAATAAGGCTACATGTGAATGGGAGGCTACGTCGCTATCCACTACAATCCCTTTTACTAGTAGTGTTTTTCGGTTTATACATTAGGTCAAAAATCAAAGTTGTGGAAGAAATCTATAATTTTATTACAATTACAGAGTTTACGTGTCTTCAGTACACCCCGACCTGTCCGAAAGCGATCTGAAGAGCGTGTTCGAGGCTTTTGGAGAAGTAGTGAAGTGTCAACTGGCCCGGCAAAGTGCTACAGGCAAAGGCAGTCATCGGTTGGTCTGCTTGATCATCTTATTTATCGGATTTTTTAAGTATCATGTTATAGTGGCTTTGGATATATCGAATTCAATAATGCTGCAGCAATGAACGAGGCTATAGCTGGAATGAATATGTTTGACCTTGGTGGACAATTTCTCAGAGTGAGTGACATCTTTCATTTTGGTGTGAAGTTTTCTCGCTTCAGTCAAATATGCAATTTTAGTGGCTGCCTTCTGTCATCGTTTTTTTTTCAGGTCGGCCGATGCATAACCCCTCCAGAAGCGCTTACGTATCTTTCTCCCCAAACGCAGGCTGCATTGCCCACTGCAGCTGCACAGGCTGCTGCTGCAGTGACAGCAAAAGTGATGGCTGCTGAGGCGTCTGGTGTAAGTTTGTAAAGAAGATGCTTCAAGCCTTGTCTTTATTTTAGAGGTAATTACTCTAAACAAATAGTTATTCTCTTTTTTTTTTCAGGCTGTGAAACATCAAGGATCCGGTTTAAATTCTCCAAGAGCAATGAGTCCGGCACCAGCCACTCCACCGTTGCTCCCTCCCCCTGGTATCGCGTGCCCATCGCCACCGACAGTGGTTGCTCCAACTGTGGCGCAACCTAAGCTGATGGTGCCACCTCCTCCTGTGGCTATAGCGACCCCTCATTTGTACAATGTAACAATTGTGATTAGTTTTTTCCCCACATTCAGCTCATCGGGTATTTTCAGCCTCCACCAGTTGTGCAAGGGCCACCTGTTTCATACCCAACCGTAGACTATGGAGTTCCACCACCTCCGGTTAATGGTTATCCAACTATGGCGCCCTCAATTGTTGTGAGCTTGTTCACACTTGAGATTCCTTGCCTGATGACGCATCACTATAATTGTATATTCAGCCTCCTGTACCTCCTCCTCCAACGACTCAGCGCGGTTTCGGTGGTTTTGCTACACCAGGTGTTCCAACGCCTGTAGCTCCACCACCAAGTCAATTTGCTGCTATGCCTCCACCACCACCACCTGCAGCTCGTCCGCAGCCTGCTGCACCGAAAGGAGAACGAACTTTCGAAGAAAAGGTGGAGCCGTTCACTCAGTCTCCTTGTAGTAGTCTTCTATCATCCTTTCTGTTGCAGATGGAAAGGATTTTGGAAAGAACAAAAGCAAAACAAGAAGCGAAGTTGGCGATGCCAGTAACCTTTGGTGCAACTGATCCACTTTGGGCACCTAAGGATCCATCTGCAGAGGATGACCGCTCTGACGGTAAGGTGATCTACGTGTTGAACTCTTATCATTGAACTCTCTTTCAGATCCTTTGGCCCTCACGGCGAAAGCAAATCAGGATGTGCAAAGTATGGCATTGGCACTAATTGGAGACAATACGTTGGCACTGAAAGGACAGAAGGTGGGTAGGCATGTTGTTCCTACTGCTAGCAACTGTGCATTCTCGTCTTTGAAATCATGCTTACTGACTGATTTTTACTGATTTTTTTCTCTATTGCTGTCATTGTTTTCGTTCTTTGTCTCTTTCAAAAAATCTGAAAAGTATTCACATTTTTTTTTCCAGAATGCCGGTCAGGGAGATTCAGCAGAACCGCAGAAAAAGAAGAAACGAGTTGTCGAGGCAAAGAAGATCCAACCAAAGGTAGGTAACGTATCTTGTTTTCCTAAATGTGATTTATAAGTGTAAGCAAGCTTGTTTTTGTAGCTCAATACTGCACAAGCGCTGGCTGCTGCTGCGAAAGCAGGAGAGCTTCATGATGCTGTTATCAACGAGCAGATGAATAGTGAGGATGCGACGTTGGCTTCTCAGGAGGGTCTTGCTATACGGTATGATGAAACATAATACTTCACATCTGTAATGCCTTAATTTGCAGCGGAAACGATGCCAGGCATCTTCTAATGGCTAAATTGATGCGAACCAATAGGTCAACGGTGCTTGTGTTGCGCAACATGGTCGGTTCATAGCATACTACACCTCGAAGATCCTTGTTTTCAGTACAAGTAACATTGTTGATAACCTTGATCTGGCTTGTTAAGGTTAACCCCGAGGATATCGACGAGTACCTCGAGGAAGAAATCAAAGACGAATGCTCTAAGTATGGCGAAGTTCAAGAGGTATGAATATGTTGATTGCTATAGATCGATAGAGAATACAGATGCTTTCAACAGGTTGTGATAGCGAATGATCAGAATGCAGGTGTTGTGAAAATCTTCGTTAGGTTTGGGGATCCCAAGCAGGTTAGTCCGAAATTATCTCTTTCACGTTGTGTAGAACTTCTCTACAGGTCGACACTGCGCGTGCTGCTCTCGATAAACGGTTTTTCGGAGGAAACACAGTTTCAGCGGAAATTTACGATCAAGCGATGTTCGATCACAACGATCTCAGTGGATGAAAGTTCTTTATTTTGTTGTTGTTGATTTGAGTTGATGTTGTTGTATGGATTTGTTATTCGCTGGTGTTTCTATATATGTACATCGACAGTTCTGCTGATTGTACAAAATGCGAAAGTGTTGCGATGTAACATGTCGTTTTCTAAAACGAGGACTTGTTTCGGTTTCGTGGTCTTAGTAATATCCTGTAAATTGTGCTGAACATAGTGATTTTCGGGATTGCTGTACTTATTAGCGTTTTCATAAATATTTATGATCCTATGCAACATTTCTTTTCGTAATTTTGTACCGATTGCGGTGTCTACGAATATAATCGCAGAAGATGAAAGCGTTCTAATCTTCTAACAAATAATGCTTATTCTTGTATATTTGTTGTTTAGCATACGGGTTTCAAATATTCGCCTTATTAAAGGCAGTGTCCGGGCAAAAAGTCGATTTTGAGATTTTGTGCTTACCCGGGCCTATTCACTATGCTGAATCTGAAAATCCACATTGGAAAGCGCAAAAACGGCAAAAAAGGGCTCTAACGCAGGAGGGAAATCGGAAGTGGGCGGAGCCCTCCCCACTGTGAATTTCGCAGTCCCAGCTTCTGGAGCGATCTTCCCAATTCCTCTAGCGCTCTGAGATCTCCACCGGCCAGGTGCGAATGTATGATTTGAAATCGGAACCGAGAAGATCGCTCTGGAAGCTGGGAGCGTGAATTCACAGTGGGGAGGACTCCGACCACCTTCTGATATCCTTCCCGTGTTAGAGCCGTTTCTTGCCGTTTTCGCGCTCTCCAATGTGCATTTGCGGATTCAGCATAGCGAATAGGCCCGGGTAAGCACAAGATCTCAAAATCGAGTTTTTGCCCGGACACTGCCTTTAAGGATTAAAAAGTTGGGTGTTCCTGCCTTCGTTGAGAATTATGTACTAAAAAGTTTCCTACTTTTTTACCAATGGGGGTAGAGCACAGTGCAAATACTTGTTGGAGAAATTCACATCTATCAATGTTGTGCATACAACAGATGTCCATTCATTTGATTTTCTTTGAAGCGAAAAACCAGCACTAGGAAGTGATTCAATTTGATGGCTTGAACGAGCCAGTGGAAAGGCAAATAGGTCTTCCCTCATTAATCGTGTTGTGAGGAAATTAATCAAACATTGTCAAATGTTTTCTTTCTTCTTGCAAACTGACCAGAATACGAATTTTGGAGGTTTTCTGTCGTCTAAAAAGCGGTGGGAATTACATTCAATTTGCATGTTTTTTATTGTTTACGCGAGTCCCATCATATCGATCCCGCTGCCATTGCGAGTGCACTTGCCTCGACCGACCGTATTATCAGTCACGTTCTCCAGTAAGTACATATTCGATTAATTGATGTGAACATCACATTTGCTAAGTTAGATTATTCTGGCACAGCCTTTTTCAAAGTTTTGAGAACATAAATTTGTAAGAAATTCATAACTAATCAAGAAAGTCAGTTAGCATAAGCTTGATGGATCAAAGCTTGCGCTACTTTGATGAACAAAGGCAAATTTACGCAGAAATTGGAAACGAATAGTTCGAGGCTTAATCGATGAGTTGTCTAGTTTGCAAATCTGGTTTACAAAATGAATAAAACTGCATCAGAAATGTTTCAAAAATTCAAAACTCCAAGTTGATGCAGGTGATTTTCTTACTTTCCAGAAGCCTTATTGTGTCATAAATTGAAAAATTTATTTATCTTATTCCTAAACTGCTGCGCACGCAGTGCTCCTTGGGAAGTACTAGCACAAGGCGGTCAATTCTGTAGATGGATCTTGTAAAACAAGTGAACCACACCCAGTACGTCACATATTATTAAACCAGTGCTGTTAATTTTTGAGACTAGCCCTGTTTTCAGCAGAAAAGCCACATGACTATATCGGAGTCTCACTGTTCGAGCAAAAACTTCTTTGATATTCATGGTGTGATAACTATTTGATGTGTGCGCTGCTCGCCTGTTATGACAAATCTTATTGAGACTCTTGTTTTGCGTAACTCTTTTGCAGATTGTAGAAAAATTAGCTTCTTCGCTTGAAAATTTCTTATGACATTACAGAGGTTTTTTCTTACTTGACAAAATCAACGTGCAGAATCGTAGATTCACTTACCAATCATTGTTTCGAATAGCGCTCTTCAAAAAACTTGATGTTGTTTAATCATATGTAGTTGCCATCGAAGATAAAGGAAAACAGTTTAATCCTCGCTTCCGCAGGTCGCGTGATATTGTTGGAGCATTGTTTTGCCTTGACCTTCGGTTTTAGTGACTAGGAAGACTGTCGGTCCGGTAAGGTCGTTTTCCTGACGACATAGTGATTTATGTTGTTTTTATTGTAAATATACTGACGCCGTTATGGATAGGGACCGCGGTTGGTTTTTCAAATTGCCTTTCTACACTGGTTTCCTGTTTACCCACTCTTTTATGTGCTTTCACTTCTCACTACCCGGCCTTATCTCATCGCATACATACATTTTATTGTTCGCACACAGTTCAGTATTTTAGATGACGACAGCGGTGTCTGGCTGCAAATTTTGCGATATCGCAAACTATAAGAGAGATTTACACCTCAGAGAATCGGACAAGGTGCTATATGAGTGAACTCATTTTGTTTCATGATTGAATGGATCGTTCTTGGGTCCGTGCGGTATATACTTTTATTTCTGGTGTGCTAGGTGATGGGTATGCTTTACAGTAATCATGAACCTGAGACGATGACTGTTTGGCTCATCTCTCATAAACATGGTTTTTTCAGTGTGTAATTATACGTGATATCAAACCGAAGACTCCACATCATTTCCTAGCCGTTAGCAAAGCTCATATCAACAAGCCCTCTGATCTGACCGCTGCCGACATTCCGCTCTGTAGGTTATCACATCACTTTTGTTTAAAGGACGGCCATAGGTTGTCGGTAAGGGTTAGGGTTGCCCAGATTGGTGGGGTTGCCGAGGTTGCCGCCGGGGTCAGGGTGCCTTCATACCGCGCCGGCAGCCGCCGCTAGTAGCCCATAACAGCCGCCAGCAGCCCGTAGCAGCCCACAGTAGCCCACAGCAGCCGCCAACGCCCGTAGCCGCCGATGGCCGCTTTCGTCATAGAAGCGCAAAACCATCGAATTTTTACTGTTTTGAGTGCAAACGCCCACGCTTTCCATCTTCCACGCTTTTTCCTTCCTGTTGTCGCAATTCGATCTCATATATAATACTTGTACTAGCGACCCTACGGGTCGCTAGCAAGTGGGTCGGGGCAGATACAATATAAGGGCTTAGTTGTGACTATAAATATTTCTAAATGAGTTTCCCATTCCTCTCCTAAGAACATTTTTGCGAGAAGTAATCTACAAAAGGAGCACTGCTCGAAGAAGCGATAATCTCCATAAATCATTCAGCATTTCTCGAGACTCCTGCCACAACTATGCATGGAGAATATTATTCTCTTGTTCACCACTTTATCTTCAATTTCCCCTCCACAGAAACATTCAGATGAAAAAAACCCCCCACTTTTCCACCCTCTCAAAGAGAATTTGCTCTTTCAGTTCTTCTCAACAAGTTCCATAAAAGATCGCTAAGTAAGTAGCAAAACGGCTATCGTTTTGGAAGTAAAAAAAACCCATAACAATTACATGTACTACAAAAAACACTTTTCTCTCAGAATCAATTCCGACAGCAACGAAATCAATCGTCCAAGAACTTTGTCAGAGAATCCTTCAATTTTTTCGCCAAAGGAAAATGAAGCTTCACTACAAAAAGAGATCCCTCCCCGAAAAGCACCACTACTGATCCAACTAAAGATCGTCAATCATAAGAACTGCACAAACGTACAAAAATTGTTTATCTGTCCGATCACATTGCCCTACGTGCCGCTTACAGACCAATATAAGTATTCAAAGAGACAAATTATACCCTGCGTGCCGCTTGAAGACCGAAAACCAACTACGACTCAAACAAAAAGAAAACAACGAATTCAACTACTTGCAGCGTATTTTCAAATTGCCGTGCATGTCACTTCAGGACTTTCAGTTCTGAGAAATGCCCCAAACGCACAAAACTCTGTTTCCCTGCCCGATCGGGTTGCCCTACGTGCCGCTTACAGACCGATATAACTATTCAAAGAGACAATTTATGCCCTATGTGCCGCTTGAAGACCGTTTAAAGATTATAGGAACTCCCCCAAACGTACAAAAATCTATTTCCCTGTCCAATCGAGTAGCCCTACGTGCCGCTTACAGACCGATATAACTATTCAAAGAGACAATTTATGCCCTATGTGCCGCTTGAAGACCGTTTAAAGATTATAGGAACTCCCCCAAACGTACAAAAATCTATTTCCCTGTCCAATCGAGTAGCCCTACGTGCCGCTTACAGACCGATATAACTATTCAAAGAGACAATTTATGCCCTTTGCGCCGCTTGAAGACCGTTTAAAAATTATAGGAACTTCCCCAAACGTACAAAAATCTATTCCCCTTCCAATCGAGTAGCCCTACGTGCCGCTTACAGACCGATATAACTATTCAAAGAGACAATTTATGCCCTATGTGCCGCTTGAAGACCGTTTAAAGATTATAGGAACTCCCGCAAACGTACAAAAATCTATTTCCCTGTCCAATTGAGTAGCCCTACGTGCCGCTTACAGACCGATATAACTATTCAAAGAGACAATTTATGCCCTTTGCGCCGCTTGAAGACCGTTTAAAAATTATAGGAACTTCCCCAAACGTACAAAAATCTATTCCCCTTCCAATCGAGTAGCCCTACGTGCCGCTTACAGACCGATATAACTATTCAAAGAGACAATTTATGCCCTTTGCGCCGCTTGAAGACCGTTTAAAAATTATAGGAACTTCCCCAAACGTACAAAAATCTATTCCCCTTCCAATCGAGTAGCCCTACGTGCCGCTTACAGACCGATATAACTATTCAAAGAGACAATTTATGCCCTATGTGCCGCTTGAAGACCGTTTAAAGATTATAGGAACTCCCGCAAACGTACAAAAATCTATTTCCCTGTCCAATTGAGTAGCCCTACGTGCCGCTTACAGACCGATATAACTATTCAAAGAGACAATTTATGCCCTTTGCGCCGCTTGAAGACCGTTTAAAAATTATAGGAACTTCCCCAAACGTACAAAAATCTATTCCCCTTCCAATCGAGTAGCCCTACGTGCCGCTTACAGACCGATATAACTATTCAAAGAGACAATTTATGCCCTATGTGCCGCTTGAAGACCGTTTAAAGATTATAGGAACTCCCGCAAACGTACAAAAATCTATTTCCCTGTCCAATTGAGTAGCCCTACGTGCCGCTTACAGACCGATATAACTATTCAAAGAGACAATTTATGCCCTTTGCGCCGCTTGAAGACCGTTTAAAAATTATAGGAACTTCCCCAAACGTACAAAAATCTATTCCCCTTCCAATCGAGTAGCCCTACGTGCCGCTTACAGACCGATATAACTATTCAAAGAGACAATTTATGCCCTTTGCGCCGCTTGAAGACCGTTTAAAAATTATAGGAACTTCCCCAAACGTACAAAAATCTATTCCCCTTCCAATCGAGTAGCCCTACGTGCCGCTTACAGACCGATATAACTATTCAAAGAGACAATTTATGCCCTTTGCGCCGCTTGAAGACCGTTTAAAAATTATAGGAACTTCCCCAAACGTACAAAAATCTATTCCCCTTCCAATCGAGTAGCCCTACGTGCCGCTTACAGACCGATATAACTATTCAAAGAGACAATTTATGCCCTTTGCGCCGCTTGAAGACCGTTTAAAGATTATAGGAACTCCCGCAAACGTACAAAAATCTATTTCCCTGTCCAATTGAGTAGCCCTACGTGCCGCTTACAGACCGATATAACTATTCAAAGAGACAATTTATGCCCTTTGCGCCGCTTGAAGACCGTTTAAAAATTATAGGAACTTCCCCAAACGTACAAAAATCTATTCCCCTTCCAATCGAGTAGCCCTACGTGCCGCTTACAGACCGATATAACTATTCAAAGAGACAATTTATGCCCTTTGCGCCGCTTGAAGACCGTTTAAAGATTATAGGAACTCCCGCAAACGTACAAAAATCTATTTCCCTGTCCAATTGAGTAGCCCTACGTGCCGCTTACAGACCGATATAACTATTCAAAGAGACAATTTATGCCCTATGTGCCGCTTGAAGACCGTTTGAAAATTATAGCAACTCCCCCAAACGTACAAAAATCTATTTCCCTGTCCAATCGAGTAGCCCTACGTGCCGCTTACAGACCGATATAACTATTCAAAGAGACAATTTATGCCCTTTGCGCCGTTTGAAGACCGTTTAAAGATTATAGGAACTCCCGCAAACGTACAAAAATCTATTTCCCTGTCCAATTGAGTAGCCCTACGTGCCGCTTACAGACCGATATAACTATTCAAAGAGACAATTTATGCCCTTTGCGCCGCTTGAAGACCGTTTAAAAATTATAGGAACTTCCCCAAACGTACAAAAATCTATTCCCCTTCCAATCGAGTAGCCCTACGTGCCGCTTACAGACCGATATAACTATTCAAAGAGACAATTTATGCCCTTTGCGCCGCTTGAAGACCGTTTAAAGATTATAGGAACTCCCGCAAACGTACAAAAATCTATTTCCCTGTCCAATTGAGTAGCCCTACGTGCCGCTTACAGACCGATATAACTATTCAAAGAGACAATTTATGCCCTTTGCGCCGCTTGAAGACCGTTTAAAAATTATAGGAACTTCCCCAAACGTACAAAAATCTATTCCCCTTCCAATCGAGTAGCCCTACGTGCCGCTTACAGACCGATATAACTATTCAAAGAGACAATTTATGCCCTTTGCGCCGCTTGAAGACCGTTTAAAGATTATAGGAACTCCCGCAAACGTACAAAAATCTATTTCCCTGTCCAATTGAGTAGCCCTACGTGCCGCTTACAGACCGATATAACTATTCAAAGAGACAATTTATGCCCTATGTGCCGCTTGAAGACCGTTTGAAAATTATAGCAACTCCCCCAAACGTACAAAAATCTATTTCCCTGTCCAATCGAGTAGCCCTACGTGCCGCTTACAGACCGATATAACTATTCAAAGAGACAATTTATGCCCTTTGCGCCGTTTGAAGACCGTTTAAAGATTATAGGAACTCCCGCAAACGTACAAAAATCTATTTCCCTGTCCAATTGAGTAGCCCTACGTGCCGCTTACAGACCGATATAACTATTCAAAGAGACAATTTATGCCCTTTGCGCCGCTTGAAGACCGTTTAAAAATTATAGGAACTTCCCCAAACGTACAAAAATCTATTCCCCTTCCAATCGAGTAGCCCTACGTGCCGCTTACAGACCGATATAACTATTCAAAGAGACAATTTATGCCCTTTGCGCCGCTTGAAGACCGTTTAAAGATTATAGGAACTCCCGCAAACGTACAAAAATCTATTTCCCTGTCCAATTGAGTAGCCCCACGTGCCGCTTACAGACCGATATAACTATTCAAAGAGACAATTTATGCCCTATGTGCCGCTTGAAGACCGTTTAAAAATTATAGCAACTCCCCCAAACGTACAAAAATCTATTTCCCTGCCCAATCGAGTAGCCCTACGTGCCGCTTACAGACCGATATAACTATTCAAAGAAACAATTTATGCCCTATGTACCGCTTGAAGACCGTTTAAAAATTATAGGAACTCCCCCAAACGTACAAAAATCTATTTCCCTGTCCAATCGAGTAGCCCTACGTGCCGCTTACAGACCGATATAACTATTCAAAGAGACAATTTATGCCCTTTGCGCCGCTTGAAGACCGTTTGAAAATTATAGCAACTCCCCCAAACGTACAAAAATCTATTTCCCTGTCCAATCGAGTAGCCCTACGTGCCGCTTACAGACCGATATAACTATTCAAAGAGACAATTTATGCCCTTTGCGCCGCTTGAAGACCGTTTAAAAATTATAGCAACTCTCCCAAACGTACAAAAATCTATTTCCCTGTCCAATCGAGTAGCCCTATGTGCCGCTTACAGACCGATATAACTATTCAAAGAGACAATTTATGCCCTATGTGCCGCTTGAAGACCGTTTAAAGATTATAGGAACTCCCGCAAACGTACAAAAATCTATTTCCCTGTCCAATTGAGTAGCCCTACGTGCCGCTTACAGACCGATATAACTATTCAAAGAGACAATTTATGCCCTTTGCGCCGCTTGAAGACCGTTTAAAAATTATAGGAACTCCCCCAAACGTACAAAAATCTATTTCCCTTCCAATCGAGTAGCCCTACGTGCCGCTTACAGACCGATATAACTATTCAAAGAAACAATTTATGCCCTATGTACCGCTTGAAGACCGTATAAATAAGAAAAACTAACTACGACTTAAAAAGAGAAAACAACGAATTCAAGTATTCACAGCGTATTCTCAAGTACATGTCACTTTAGGACTTTCAATTCTGAGAAATGCCCCAAACGCACAAAACTCTGTTGCCCTGCGCGATCGAATTGCCCTACGTGCCGCTTACACACCGATACCTAGTTGAAAGCACCAGCGGGACCCAGTCACACAACCAAAGCAAGGCTGTTGTTAGATAAACCCTTTCAAAAGTACCAGCGAGACCAAGTTACTCACGCACTCTCTTGTTTACACGCGGAAGCAAGATAATCCTAAAGTGACTGTTCTTAGTTAGAGCATTTTTACCAAGAGTTGAGAACATAGACGAATTTAGCACAAGTCAAGCTGTTACGCAATTTTGCATCATTTCAAAAGCAACTAATAGGAGTACAACATATTTAGTAGACATATTCTAGGATAACAAGCTCGAGAAAAAAGCAGGTACAAATAACACATCCGGACACTGGCGATCCAGTCTCAAAATCATCTCAAAATCATTGCGACACTCATTATTGCCTTTCGAAATACGTGTGACCCTTTTACGAAAATATGCTTGGTCACTGGTTTTGAAATTTGGCAGCGTTCCAAAACGCGCCACTTGGCAGCAATCCAATTCCAAAGATCAGTGTATTTCATCATAATTTTTACGTCTGCGGCCTCCTCGTTTGCCATAATCCAACTATCAGAGGACTATTGCGTAATCAACGAATTCGTTATATATTACGTAGTGATCCGTTATTGTTAAAATCTTGTTGCCGTGGACTGGTTATCCTGTCGCTGCTCAGTTCCTCCTCGCAGTTAAACCATATTTCGACGAAGTTTTTTCGCGGTGCAATTTCTTCTGACTTTGGATGCGTCCAGTTTCTGCGAGTATGCTATCAGTATATTTTTTTGAGTATGGTTCTGCTTCAATCATATTCTTGGCCGGTGCTTATCTTAAATAACTCTGTAATGTGTGAGTGCGGAACTGCACATTAGCGGCAATAGGAAGAAAGAAGGGTAAGTTGGAAAGCTTGGGCGGGCGCACTTAAAGGCACCGCTTACCCAAATTTTGGTCGGTGAGATTTTGATGCCTCATAGTAGCGGGGCTTCATCCGTATAACTGCCTGACTCTCGCTGTCAAAAGTTGCTTCCGAAGCGAGAAAATTGCTCCGAAAGTAGCTTGGATGACAGTTTTGTGTGGGGCGTGACGTTGGCCCCGCCCACGCAGTGGTTTCGCCTAGCTCGCGCAAAGGTCAAAAAATCGATCAAATCATGCGAGAGCGCACCCTGCCCCGCGATGGGCCCGCAGCTGACCCGCGCTGAGTGGCAGGCGTGGGCGAGGCCAAATCACTCCCCACTCAAAGCTGTCATCCAAGCAATTTTCTCGCTTCGGATGCGAGAAAATTGCGACTTTTGACAGCGCGAGTTGGGCAATCATACAGTTGAGGAGCTCGCTACTGTTAGAGGGCTCGCTACTGTTAGGCATCAAAATCTCATCGACCCTAAGGGTGGACTGTGCCTTCAAAGTAAGAATTTGGTGATTTTGCGCTTCTACGATAAAAGCGGCCAGCGGCGGCTACGGGCTGTTACCGGCTATTACGGGCTGCTAGCGGCGGCTGCCGGCGCGGTATGAATGCATCTTCAGAGGAAATTCAGAGAGCGAGCGAAACGTGGAGTCTATCACGAGGTCCACAACGACCGGCAACGCCGGCAACCTCGACAACCGCGGCAACCTCGACAACCCGGGCAATCCCGACAACCTATGACCGGTCCCTTAGGTGATTGCTGCAGATGTAGGCTGTGTAAGGACGCCATAGTAGATCCACTCATTCACTTGATACTTCATGTCAAACGCGCCGTGAGTAATTTGTCATCTGGGTCGCGAGGTAAATTTTTTTGTACTTTTGCCGAAAATTCGCTGTACGCGACACCAAATGACAAGCTACTCCCGGTCCCTTTCAGAAGGGAATCAAGTTCCAAGTGTATCAACTACGGTGTGCTCTAATGGTGAAAGCCGCGCAAACTGTGATCACAACACTACGCGCGGGCTCGTAGCTGTCTACATTATGGGATCGTTCAGACCGCGCCGGTACCCGTCCAGATCCGCCCAAGTACGTCCGAATCCGCCCGAACCCGCCTGAACGCCGGAACTGCCAAAGCGCAGCAAATATGCGCAAATTGGCATATTGGAGCACGTATGGAATACTGCGCGTGGTGCATGTATCTATCTTAGTCACACGTAGCTCGACGCATATCTGGCGCTTTGGCAGTTCCGGCTTTCAGGCGGGTTCGGGCGTATTCGAACGTATTTCGGGCGGATTTGGGCGGATTTGGACGTATTTGGGCGAATTCGGGCGGATTCGGACGGATACCTGCGCGGTCTGAACGATCCCTTATGACTACAAATAGTAGCCTTTATATTATGACGACAAATTGCTGCGGTCTTTGCGCCTACTCCAACGTTATAGAAGTTTATAGCACCTAAACAAAGAGCACTGTAGTGCTCAGCTCAATTACTTAAATTATCTAGCAGCTATCAAGTGCATACAAAAAATACTTCGATTGAAGACTAAAGCAAAGAAAATGCGTTTCCCGATCGGCGCACGCGACGCGCAAGCGCTGCCATTGTCACGATTTTACGGTTAACGTATAACATCCTCTCATTGATTGAACATAAAATTTGGGAACAAACAAGGCAGTACTCTAAACCAGAATCCTGTAGCTAAGCACGTTATGCTTTCGATCCAGTACCCACTTCGCTATTGGTTAAATCACTGACTTAACCAATAGCCAAGTATCAAATGGATGTATGGCGTGTCCCTAAAATCCCGGGCATACCTCACGTGATTTCAGTGGCACGCGACTTGGCAATACCCGGTTGCTTATAACTCGTCGCAAACTCAATTTGAGCACATAGAAAATAACACATTATGGACTCACAAAAGTTGAATCACCAAGCAGTTGGGATATGCGAGTGATGGGTTTGAAGAGATCTCGAACGGCAAAATCGCGTGGCGAAATCGCATAGATATGCCAGGGACCTGATGCCGTGGGCATATCTCACGCGATTTTATTTTTGTAAACATAAAATAATTTTTAAAAAATTTTAAAAATTCAAATTAGCGTTATAGAAAATTTTTCCGGGGGCTTCAGGGGTTGGGGGCCCGCAAAAATTTTGAGAAGCCCCCCTAAAAAATTTTCGGAGTGCGTGGCTGACGCCACGCACCTTTATTAAAAAATTTTTTGCCGCCCCCCCAAGCCGAAATCCTGGGTACGCCTGTCAGGATGTAGACGCTGTGTAACCCTATAGTTGGATGTAGCTTGCTATCGGAAGCATCCACCAACTGTCCAGCCGTTTACACTCAGTCGCATATATAAGCTCGTGCCAGCAATTGGCACGGCAGTCACCTCCACTCCGTGCAGCCTAGCTGCTCCCCTCCCCCTTTCCTTCTCTGTACCTTTATGTATATAATAAATATGATAACCAGTCCTATGTAAGACACCGGCACACTCAGGTAAGGGGAGTCGACACCCTTGTTCCTGACACGCCACTGGCAGACCCCAAATGCACAGCATGTATAAATTTCGTAGTTTGATGAAATGCCCTATCTTTCGTACATTCAGAAACTCTTACGATGAGTTATGCACAATTGGAGTCTTGTCAAATCGCGTGGCGACTGAAATTGGGTGAGGCATGCCCGAGGCCTAACTAAAGTGCTGTTATAAACAGTTTGGTTAGTCTAGGTAACCCTGCCCTATCGGTTACCGTGACGATATGAAAGGACGATATGCCCAGGGCCTAAGAGGATAGCATGCGCTGCGTTTGCACTGTAAGGACTGTCACAGTTACACTAATTTTACCTGGGTAATCCCCTACGCTGCCTTTAATGTTCTTTCCAAAGCTTTTATATTATTCTTCTTTCATAAAGATGCGCTCAATCAGCGAGCGCGCTGTGTGCTTTTTATGAAAGCTTCGTGAGGACATAGGAGATTACAACAGTGGATGCCATGTCATGGTTATCATTGCAGTGGCGGATATGGAAAAGACCGGACGCGAATATCTCCGTGCTGAATTGAAGGCAAGAGGAGAAGCGGACACAGTTGAAGACTTGCTAAGGGTAGGATTTCATTGGGGACCGCTGATCACTGTCAATCATCTTCATATGCATATATTGTATCCTATAAGCGAGGTGAGTTTATGGCGGCGTAGCCTTTTGCTTTGAGCATCGTATATTCTTAGCTCGGTTTCTTCTCGCGAAATGTGACATTCCGCCCTGGCAAAGTTTTCCGTACCACCAGCGAGATTGTTGGTGAACTGAAGAAAGCTGCCAATATACCAGATCCGCTCCAAGGTTCGTTTTCTACTTTCAAACTTGTTTTGAATTTTCGAGGAGCTTTATTCAGAAAACCCCGCGAAAGATGACAACCCAGATAGGCTTTCAGCACATGCGGTCGCCAATTAGTCGGTTCTTTCTTTTTATTCAGCTTCTTTTTTTTATGTGATTCATTCCTTCATCTCGCCATCATCGTCTTTTTGAACACAAACGAAAGGACGGAAGCCAAATATTGTGAAATTGAGTTGCGTAGCAGCTGCATGACTTACGTAGTAAGCAAATAGGTTTTGACACAATGAAATCCTTCAGTTTCATGCGAAATTTTGCCAAATGAGATTATCAAGTTTTATCTCCTTAGTAACACATTGCTATCAATCACGATATTTCTCAGTGCTATATTGTATCCTCGAATTATTGGTGCCTATGTCTTATAACCATCTCTGTTCATCATAATATTCTGTATATAAACGATTCCAAAGACAGCTTTGGCAGACTTTCACCATCCAGATAACTTTGTCGTGCCCCTATTCACCTCTCCAGCACAACTCCCCATTTTTTGAGTCGATGCTGAAGACTTCTAAAATAGCCAATTTGGTATCTTGTAACACATAATGCAAAGCCTCAGTTCCCAGACTTTAACTTTGGTGTTGCGGAATGTATTGAGTCCTTTGACGATTTACGGGAACACTCATAAACACTAGTATTATCATCGGTGACGATGATGTCCCCTCACGGGCGGGGGGCAGGGCCGATTGGTGCTTTGGCCCCCCTGAGTTGTTATACATTAGCGAGAAGCCCCAATAAAACTCTCGCTTTTCATTTTTCTGTCTGTTACCTCGAAAGATCCACTGGACCCCAAAAAGTAAGTTTAGTCGGGTAAGACCAGTCTCGCCACCATATTCCAATAAGTATATTCTACTTTCTGGCACATTATACTATAGTAATGTATTGAATAGAGAAATGAATACAGTCTGTTTGAAACTAGGTTAGGCCGAAATGAGAGTAGTACGCGCAGGCCTCGCGATGGTTCGCGCCCTATCGCGAAGTTAGAAGAACTTTGAGGTTGGAGGACTACATGGTGTAGGGGATATAGGTGCGCAGACTCACCGCTGTCGCGATCACGCAGAGCCTTACATCATATCATGACAAGATGTGTGGTCTGTTCCTCTCATCCTCTGTCTTTGCTTGGAAGAAGGTAGCATTGTGAGCTAACCTCTAGCGAAGCGGGACACGCCATCACAACACACCACAGATACGCTACCGCTGCTGAGCTGGTATGGGTTGTTTCATACTGCCGCACTGACTGCAGCAGTCTGCACTGACCGCAGCAGACTGCAGCTGACTGCAGCTGACTGCACTGACCGCAGCAGACTGCAGCTGACTGCACTGACTGCAGCAGACTGCAGCTGACCGCACTGACCGCAACGACCGCAGCGGCTGAAGCCTGCAGGCGGAGAGGATAAATAGTTGTGCTTTAAACAAACAACAACAATATATACGTAAAAGCAAAAGACAACAAGGTTTAGAATGTTACAAAACAGGTATATGCAATGATAGGAAGAATTAGAACAAATACGAACATACCAAAGAAAACTATCGCCAAAATTTGATTGAGAAGAATTATGATGGAACTTATGATCTTCTTATGCGCAAATCACGCTGCTTTGATAATCGCGGTTGTTTTTTCTTTTAAGAAAAGAGGCTGCGACCGGTTGCGGTCAGTGTGGTCAGTGCTGTCTGCTGCAGTCAGTGCAGTCAGCTGCAGTCTGCTGCAGTCAGTGCGGCAGTCTGAAACAACCCTATAGAGGTATGCAAGGCCAAGTATAGAGTTGCACGTCCCAAGCCGGGCGCAGCATGCGTACACGACGCCCATACCACCTGGTATCATGTCAGAAGCTTCACGTGCCATGTCGAATGCCTATCGTGGCATCAGGCAATTTGCAGTTGCGCATATAAAGTCGAATAATGTCAGATAATCGAGAATACTGGATGTAGATAATCGAATGTTCGAATATTTTTGAAAACCAAAAATTTCGAATAACCGAATAATCGAATAAATTCGAAGCTGACAATTTTCAAATAAGCGAATACGGAATATATTCGAGATTTTGAAATTTTCGAACAATCGAATTTCGATTATTCTACTCGAATACTTTATTCAAAGACTCGACTAATTATTCGATCCGGTGCAAAGTATACTAAACAGGCCTTACTGCTTCCTTGTAAACCTGGATAGCCGGTGAAGTGAACAGCTTTGGTAGTTTCCGTGTTGCCTTCAGTTATCTCAACTCAAAAATACCGACATCGTTGGCTCTTGGTGGGGAACCTCAAACTTGAGTAAATGAAATTCACTATTCAACATTTGGATCATTTAACAACAGGCAAACGAAAGAATATAACGTTCAAAAATGGAACATTGGAATGTCAACATGAGATGAGAAGTAAAATGATGATGACGAAAAGATTTCGACTGCTCAGTGCCCGACGCAACAACACCACCGAAAAGTGAGAAGTCGATGAGCCCGACGCCCGTTTTTAGTGTAGTATCACAGTTTATCTTTGACTGGGTGAATCCAGAACATTTTCGGATTTCACTGTAGCAAAGCAAGGGGGATAAGGATGACTTGGAAACTATATTGAGTGGGTGACACGAAGAACAGAATCATTTTGAAGTGATGAGATATCACCGGCTCTCAGATTTGTGTGGAGGTAGAGTCTTGCCAACTCAAAGTGTGGCGGTTCTGATAGCGAAAGAAAGAATGCTTTAACGTAGAGGTTAACAAGTTTATCCTTATAATCAGGCATAGTCCGCAAACCGCCTACACGATTTGGGAGCTGATCATGTATTTGAAAAAGAGGCAAAATCAGGCTGCCACCCAGAGTGGCACAGCAGCTGGTAGATACTTGAAGTAACTAACCTAAGCACTGAAGTGAAGCCTTTCCTTTGAGTGTTCTACGCTCTACTGACGTAGAGCGTAGAACACTCAAAGGAAAGGCTTCTTCAAAAATGAGAAAAGATCGCTGGGTAATCGGCGTCACAATTTTATGATAATGGTTTGTGAGTTTACACAGAGCTGATTTGTTGCAGCATATATATCTTCCAAACAATAAACTATCAACAGTATTGGCAAACTCAAAAGACAACAACAAAATCAACAACGAAACAAAACTGAGTCATGATAGTCGGATTATTGGGGTTTACGACCGCTTTGTCTTAGCAGGTAATTTCTCAAACTTTTTTGTTGATCACGGAACGAACGTTGACGATTCTTTCCTCTTACCTTAAGCATACATTATAGAGACGAGCACAACATTGAATTATATGATATACCTTGGCTTTGACCATGCTGAATACTTTCTTTTTAGCTAGTTCCCGATTTGTTCTACCCACGTGTGCACCCTGAAAAGATTTTCAAGATCTTTACTATCAATGATCCCTCTTATCTTTGATGCAACGTGAAAAACATTAAGCAAAAGAAACTGACGGTCTTTTTAGGACGTCCAAATTTCTGTTCGTCAGAACGTCCTTCTTTTATGTCTGCTAATCGCTCCTCCTTCGTTTGCTTTCGTTTCTTGTGGAACTGTTCTATGTCACTTAGGCGAGGCAGACCATCGCCTCCATCGCGTCTTGAATTTTGGGAAGATAATTTTCTCAGTCTTCACTGGGAAGTGAAGATTGGGAAAATACTCACCTCTCCATGCGCTCACCCAACTCCTCGATGAGTTTAACATCATCACTCTTTTTATTTGCGCCTAGTTGTTTTTTCAAACGCTTCTCACCAATGAGTTTTTTCTTGAGCTGATAAAGTCGGATTTGTTTGAACTCCTCCTGGAACAAAATGTGTCACGAACTTAAAAGTCTAACGTCAAGGAAATACCTGGGTCAAAATTCGTTCAGTACTTATTATTTCAGCCTTTTTCTTTGGATCGATCTCCTCCGCTGGACCTGTTGAAGAAGACACCTGAAATTGAAAGCATGACTTGTGACTAAACTCTTCTGCAGCAGGTTCCACGGTAATATTCAGTTCATCATGTAATGGGTTCGGCAGATCATGAAGGTCGCATCGTCTGAGGACATTGCTCAAACAGGGCACCACAGGACCCTGAATCATTCGAACGAACTTGATCACCCGCGCTAGTTCTCAGTATCTAAGCCATTGCTATCATCTGATGACAGAGAAGCATTTGGGAGAAAGGAAATTTAGGACGCTTTGTTGACGGTTTGTGCGAGCAACGACCGCAAATTTATCGACTTCATGACCAGGCACAGCCCTAAATCATTATTCTGACTCGACAACACATCACTGAAGACTGTCTCGATTACCAACAGTGCCAACGGATTGAAAAATAGATTGATAGCTCCCATGACACCTCTTTCCCGTGCACCTCCTCTTCCACTTCTTCTTCTTCTTCTCCATTGTCCGTCACCCATCCTTCACTATCATCCTCATCATCTTCATCATCTGTTTCCATTTCTCCATCATTACGAGCACGTTTGTGTGCTGGCGCCTCGTCGTCAGAATCAACATCGTCGGTGTCGACGTCTACAATAGAGACGTGAAAATCTGACGCAAACTTCTTTCATAATCATTACCTGTGACATCTAAGTTACTATCACTACTACAAGCATCAACTTCCATTTCGCCCGTATCTTCTCGGTGTTCCTCCAAAATATCCGCATCGGTGACAAATTCGGCAACTGCAGGTTTCGCAAAAGCAACGAATCTTGGTAAAAACAATCAAATTGGGGAAAGGCAATCAATTTTTAAAATTACGAAAAACTTACTCTTTTTCCTCTCCGTTGTCAGAGGGTCTACCGCGGTCTTTTCTCGCCAGTAATCGGGGATTCACAGCACGAAATAAGGTGATAAGGGCTCGAGCTGCCATTGAAACATTCTTATTCTTGTACGTTTTGTACTGTAAACAAATCGATAGAAAAGCGTAAACATGGGATGTGTGGAAAAACTACCTCAGCAAGATCTCTAAGGAGTTCTTCCGTAGCGGCAAACGGACAATTCGCGAAAATTTCTCTGATGGCATTGATTCCTACCGTCATAGCTTCCGGAGAGTTCCTGTAAATGAATTTATGGCTGAGAAGGAAACAAGAACTACGCTTCACTACCTATCCGAAACAAAATTGTTAGCAATAACCCGAACAAGTTGCTCAACTGTATCGGGAGGGACCAGTTCATGAGAGGCCTGAGCTGCATACAAAAGGATTCGCGTCACCTGAACATAATAGTTAAGACAAGAAAGCCAAACAAGATAACGATACGTCTCTCTGCTTCGGCTGCAGGTAGCGGTGCAGGTATGAGTAGAAACTAAGTAAATGCAGGCGATGGACTCCTATGACTCGAGCACAGAGGGCGATGCGGAAGAGGCGCACCTATGGTTGAATGTAGTAAAAAAAAATACAGAAAAGTTTGAACATTGGTTTCAGATTACTTACTTCGTATTTGTCGATTTTCTTACTTTCCAACATGCGAAATAATCTATCTACAAACTCTTGAGGATCGTACAGCGACTGTATCGCAAGCAAGTTACACTCCTTGCTTCTGCCCTCTAAAGTGATGAAGATAGTTGTTAAACACAGATACAGAACGCATCACCTTTTTTCGCTTTTTTCTTCTTGTTTATAGCTTTTTTAGATCTTTCAAGATCTTTCGCTCGCTTCCTCGTTTTCTTTGCATGGCGGAAGGCAGTCATAACTTCTTTGATGGTTTTTCTCTCATCTTCACTCTCGCTGTCATCATCACTCATATCACTCTCACCCTCTTCATCTTTTTTGGAACCCAAGAAAAACTTCATGGCTGTGACCTGGAACAGAAAAGAAATGACTCTTTGGTTGACTTAAACCAATGATCATATCCAAACAGAAAGATCCGCAATCCAAATGTTAGGGATCGTTCAGACCGCGCACAAAGGCGGACGAAGGCGCACAAAGGCAGACGAAGCCGCACAAAGGCGCACGAAAGCGGACGAAGCCGCACGAAGGCGGACGAAGGCGCACGAAGGCGCGTGTGAGTGAGTGTGCGTGTCGATATAAATGAGACGAGACAAGACGCGCCTTCGTGCGCCTTCGTCCGCCTTTGTGCGGCTTCGTCCGCCTTCGTCCGCCTTTGTGCGGCTTCGTCCGCCTTCGTCCGCCTTTGTGCGCGGTCTGAACGATCCCTTAGGCCCTGGCCAGACTTCGCTCGAAAGCGCTCAAAAGCGCTCAAACTTCTCTAACCTCTCCTCACTCTCTCTTATCTCTCCTCACACGAGAAAGTGAGAGACACCAGAGAAATTTGGGCGCTTTTGCGCGCTTTTGAGCGCTTTTGGGCGCTTCTGAGCGAAGTCTGGCCAGGGCCTTAGGAGACCGAGATGATCCGATTCAGATGTCAAATAGAAGGCAATATATTGGTGTACACGGCACCTACCTGAATTTTCGGAAGTTTATGGAAGCAAGTTTCAGCAATCACATTAGCACACTTAGCGTCACGCCAATACTTTTTACGGAATGCATCGATGCAAATCAACTGTGCAGCTCGAGCAACAATCGCACGAGAATCCTAAGCTGACATATTTTATACAAGTCAAGCAGAAAAGGAGATAATGAAGCGCACCTTCATCTTCGCAAAGCAGAAGTTTTGCACTTTCCCGAGTAGTTTCATATTCTTCTTTTGGGTATAAAATCTTCTCAAAAGTGACGAGATGGATGCGAGGACAAATTTTCTGAAAATATCCTTTTGACATTAGCCAAGTCACACAATATATGACACCGACCTCAATTGCTTATCTTCAATCTTGACTACCTCAAAGAAAATTTCTAGAAATTCCAAAGGATCAACCAGATTTTGATTTCTCAGCAGTACCAGTGCTTTACAGAATGACATTCTCACCTAAACCATAAATAAGGTCTTGAAAAGATGGAGTATTTCCTTACATGAGGGTCTAGACCACTGCCTTGTTCTCGAAGAACAGTGATCATGTGCAAACAAAATTCCTTTGCCTGTTCTAAATGGTAACTTATGAACACTGATACAATAGCACAGCACAAGAACCACACCTGGATAGTGCTTAGCAAGGCCGGATAGGAAGGTTATAGATTCCAGCAGTGGTTGGAGCTCCATTCTGTGTTGCTGAGGTTGTAATTGGAGAAGTTTCATGGTGTGAGTGTAGTGGTCAAATTGTTCCAGAAATTCCTGAAATGACTGCACGGATTAACAAAACCTCGATTCTCTTCAACAATGAGCACCTCTTTATAAGATTCAGGATCCTTCCGAATGATTTCCATCATGAGTCCGAGATTTCTCTCAGACATCGTATAACGACTACTCCTCGCAGGAGCAACAACAGACGCCGCTGCCATGACAGTCTGAAATCCCTGCCCAGAAAAGTGAAAGACAAAACCGTGAAATGAGCGAAAACAACTTTCGAATTGAGGGTTCAACATAGAGAGTGGGTTTTATGTCAAGATGCGCGATTTCTAAGTCAGATATAAACATCAAACAGTACATATTAGCCTGGTACATGTCCTGCGGTACCGACATTTGCCGACAACATTGCGCGAGGAAGAGCTACGCGTGCTGTAATTCTAATGATTTGCGCGTGTAAAATGATCGCGGAGCCCACTTTCCAAAAGTTTGCGAGCTCTAAGGCACACCCCATACTTGATCCTCTCCATCCAATTCGCTATTGGCTAAATCAATCAGCTGACCGATATCGAAGTGGAGTTCTCTTGACCCCTTCGACTTGACCAATAACGAAGTGGATGGAGCGGATCAAGTATGGTGCGCTAATTGGTACACGCACAAATGTCGACAGCATATGTCGGCAATGCAACACTATATTCCAACTGCTAGAACATATATAGTGCTACAACGTGATACGCAGGAAGTTACATGGCTGCACAATCAATAACACTTGAAACATAAATGTTGAAAGTAAAAAAGTATGAGAAAGCCTAACAACAAATTTGAGATGATACCTTAAAATCTCACAGACAAGTCCTCCCATCAGATAAGTCTGTCTACAGATAAGTCCGCTTTCAAATAGGTCCGCTTTTTTGACTCAGATAAGGCCCTTCAGATAAGTCCGTTTACAAATAAGCCCGTTTTCCCATTATAACTACCTTTATATACTTGCGAAACAAGCACTAAAATTATGTCTTGAGACATAAATGATGTCTTGAAAAAGAAAACGGATGGAAACTAGCAAAACGAAATTAACGCAGCAAATCCATTATCGCCCGTCAAAAAATGCGCACAAGTTGCGTCTACACGCACGGCATGTGAACCCACGGCTACTTATGGTCTTTTGTAAGCCTTGAAGCTTCTCGACAAAATTTTTCCTATCTATATTGCGTTATCTTAGATAATTTTTCAGGTAAATTGCCTACTCAAAACATACTTATATTTCAGCTGGGTTAACCGGTTGATGTATTTTGTTTTCGGCGCTCTACTTCGGCCAGCGTGTGGGCGGTCATCGGTTTTCACGAATTGTACTAAGTCGGTTTTTAGCTCGAGAAGCCGTTTTCTCAGGTGAGTGCTGCACTTATCTTCCATTCAAATCCTGTACAAAGTGCTATTGGCAATCTCCCGTCTTCTAATACAGAGTGAGACTCAACCAAAGTTCTCCGACTAAACTCAACTTCAACTGTCTCTGGATTCTTGATTCAACCACTGCTTGACTATAGGAATTCGTTTCAGTGTGAGAAATGCTTGGTGAACAATAACTGTTTGGCTAGGCGCAAAATCAGCACTGTCACTACTCTTGCACAAACTCCCTACTTCTATCACAGTTCTACTGAGCCTTTGAGAAGGAAATGTGCAGCTATAGGACATGCTTGCCTACGTCAAGTGGGGTTGCGAATTAACACGATACTTTTAATCACCATAGGCCATATCGCTGATTTTTTCGAAAACCAGCAGTCATAGAAATTAGCTTTTGACTAAGTCGTACTTTCCCAAGAAGGTGTTGAAGGCAGTAGGTCGGCAGAATGGGACCCGTGGCAAAACAAGATCACAGGATAGAAGCCCCCATAATGGAACCTATGAGCCAAAATTCGATCTTTCTCTGCCACTTCTAACCCCGATATTTCAAAACGAAAGCAGCGCTCATCTCCTGTCTTCTCCGAACCCGCCCACCTCATGGACGAGTGAACGCGAAGGCCGTCATGGCGAACACGCAGAGTCGTTGCGGGACCTCATGCTTATAGCATTGCGGCATGCGCGCTCTGACCGCGGAAGTCACTCGTCCATGGGGTGGGCGGGTTCGGAGAGGACAGGAGATGAGCGCTGCTTTCGCTCTGAAATTTCGGGGTTTAGAAGTGGCGGAGAAAGATCGGACTTTGGCCGGTAGTTTCCATATGGGGGCTCCTACCCTGTGACCTTGTTTTGTCACGGGTCTCGTTCTGCCGATGTACTGCCACTGTAGAAGACGAAGGTGGAAATCGAGTACACTCCAGCCTCGGCTGGTGATGGTGTGATCGATTTCTTTGTGAGTCATTCGGTTCGGCCATTCCGCTATCTCTGGCATTGTTCTCTCTTCCTGGTAATAGAGTTGCCATGGAAAGTCGTGTGAGGATGGGGAGCCCAATTAGACCGTTGCCGTTTTCGTTCCCTAGCTCAGTTTTAGCATTTCCGATCCTGTACTTCTCTTTTAGCGGCAACTCGATTTTCGCGTCGATCCCACATTACAGTTGCACAAAGATCTCTGTTTGCGGACGACTCCAAGTCTTCTAGAAAGCATACAGTAACCCGTCAGTTATGTTGAAGGGCAGCAGTTGATGATGCTGTTGGCATGAGGGTAGATGTAGATTGGAATCGAGGTGACAAGAGTCATGCGAATCGTCATATGGGCGATAGATAGGTGGACTCCAATACTATTGCAATTAATGGGCTTATGACCCTAAATATTTTTCTTGCAGGTCGATTTCAAATTAGTAAGACCAGAGTTCATGCAACTATTTGTATGTCTTATTTTTCATACTCTTGGAACGTTAAAAAACTTTTAATACACCTATTCGTTGCCCTATATAGGCCTCAGGCAAAGTTCACGCGAGTTAATCGTCGCGATTCAATCGCTACAAGACAAGTGTTACGAGTTCATTGCATGCTGATCTTCTTGTAATTAAGACAAGTGTTACGAGTTCAATGCATGCTGATCTTCTTGTAATTATTTCGGTTGTGATAGTTATTCACGATTAGTCGTGTTGGAAAACTATCACAGCCGGAATGCAAGAAGATCGGTATGCAATGATATTGTTGCAGTTGTCTTATAACGATCAGTCGAGACGATCAAATCGCATGAACTCTTCTCAGGCCATATTCGGCTACGGAACCGCGCCTCTTACCATACACCTTGTCACGCCCATAGAGCAGCAAACCTTAGTGGAGGGCTGTAATCTTATATTGGCCATTTCTGTCAATCGATTACCAACATCGAATATTGCATAGGCATTATATAGAAGCAGTGCGTCATCTTTGCTTTGCAGCTGTAAACGCTTCTCCTATCATCTCATTTTATCTTGCACATTGACACATCGTCTGATTGCCGTCAGACTTACCAATAATGCTGGCCCTGTCATCACGAATCAGTGGTAATGACCATCCACTGCAATTGTCTAGCCACGAATGGTGATTTTTTATAGGAGAAAGATCTTTAGCGAAGGAGTACGTAAGCTTGATTAATGGAATCAGTTAGGATTATACAGCTTTCGTCGCAAGGCTACCGTTGAAATGGTGAATATGTAGGTCCGAAAGTGGTCAAATTTGGTCTCGATCGGAAGCGACTTGCTATGGCATTGAAACACGGTTGCAAATCATCGAAATGTGTAGAGCCTGTCTAACAGCTACGAGCTTTGCACAAACTCGGATCCCCTTCGGATCTGGATTGGATTCAGATTCGAAGTATTGATGGCAAAATACTTGTGTCACCGCATCATCTTATATATAAAGCTGAATGTCTGTTTGTATGTATGTATGTACTAGCTGGCTTACCCGGCTCCGCCGTATCCGGACCAAACTTGGCACACATACACTTCGGGCCCCGGCGCGTGTCACAGTCCACTTTTCGTTATCGATCGATGTCGATTTTACCGATTTTTATCGATTTTTTCGCAGAGTTCACCTACAGGGCTAGGAGTTGGCACAGGGGGGGAAGTGAGCATGGGGATTCCGAATACAATATTAGTTTTCAGAATTATCGGTTACTTCTATTGATTTTATCGATTTTTTGTAAATTTTGACATGCGAGGCTGGGATTTTGCACAGGGGGGTAATCGAGCATGCTGATTACGAACACAATATTAGTTTTCAGGATCGTCCATTACTTTAATCGATTTTACCGATTTTTTTGTAAAGTTTGACCTGCGGGGCTGGGAGTTTGCACAGGGGGGTAATCGAGCATGCAGATTACGAATACAATATTAGTTTTTGGAATTATCCATTACTTCTATCGATTTCATCGATTTTGCAAAATTTGAGCTAGGGGGCTGGAATTTGACACAGGGGGTAATCGAGCATGCTGATCACCCCCTTGGGGATGATCAGCATGCTCGATTACCCCCCTGTGCCAACTCCCAGCCCCCTAGCTCAAACTTTGCAAAAAATCGATAAAATCGATAAAAGTAATCGATAATCCCGAAAACCAATATTGTATTCGGAATCCCCATGCTCGATTACCCCACTGTGCCAACTCCCAGCCCCGTAGCTCAAACTTTGCAAAAAAATCGATAAAATCGATAAAAGTAATCGATAATCCTGAAAACCAATATTGTATTCGGAATCCCCATGCTCGATTACCCCCCTGTGCCAACTCCCAGCCCCGTAGCTCAAACTTTGCAAAAAAATCGATAAAATCGATAAAAGTAATCGATAATCCTGAAAACCAATATTGTATTCGGAATCCCCATGCTCGATTACCCCCCTGTGCCAACTCCCAGCCCCGTAGGTGAACTCAGCAAAAAAATCGATAAAAATCGATAAAATCGATATCGATCGATGACGAAAAGTAGCCTATGACACCCGCCGGGGCCCGTAGTGTATGTGTGCCAAGTTTGGTCCGGATCGGTTCAGAAATGAAATTTTCTATTCGGAACATACGTACAGACATACAGACAGACATACAGACAGACAGACAGACAGACAAACAGACATTCAGCTTTATATATAAGACTAGCGACCCTACGGGTCGCTAGTAAGTGGGTGGGGGGACAAGAAACAGAATTTCCATCTTTTCACCGACCTTTCGCGTATCAGTAGTAGTAGAAACAAGACACCATGCTCTTGAGTAAAGAACCTACCACCAATGACTTATTATCTGCAAAGCATCTTTGCTATTCCTCTCGCAGATACCTTAGCTCCGGACCACAGCCCAGGAAGAAGAAAGATACCTAGGGCCGCATGCACGAACAGGAGAGTTGAAGAGGGGATCGCAGCTTAAAAGAAAGCTTCATATCGTGAAGCTCCGAACTTCTGGATTTCACGCTGTCTACCTGTCCGTAAGTATTCCTACCATCCTTCACTATGAACATACCGAACAGGAGCGAGAAGCTGAACAAGCGGATTTTTAGAGCTTTTTGTACGATCCCCTAGTGATCCCCGGGGAACGACCGCCACTTCTTTAGGCCCGTATGCACGAACATTCCTGCGGCGAGGCGGAGCGGCATCCCCAATGATGAAAAAGCCGCAGCGGCGATCGCACGCGGCCCCTTCATAACGGAGGACGCCGCTCCCCTCGCCGCAGGAATGTTCGTGCATACGGGCCTTAAAGTCGTTTTTCTTTCTTCAAAGGTAATGAAAACATTCCAAAGTTGTACTGCTTATCTAACCCAACAGTGCTAATCATATTTCTGGTAAGAACAATTGATGTTTTGAAGTCATGAAATTTTCGATGATCCACAGGTCAAAATTTGAGGTTTACCGGAAAATTCGACTTTTCAAAAACTCATTTGTTCTCATCAGCAACATGCTTAGCACTGTTGTATTAGATGTTCAGTACAACTTTGGATGGTTTTCGTTAACTTCGCAGAAAGAAAAATGACTTTAAAGAAGAACCGGTCGTCCCCCGGGGATCACCAGGGGATCGTACAAAAAGCTGGAAAAAACGGCTTGTACAGCTTCTTGCTCCTGTTCAATATGTTCATAGTAAAGGGTGGTAGGAATACCTACGGACAGGTAGATAGCGTGAAATCCAGAACTTCGGAGCTTCAGGATATGAAGCTTTCTTCTGAAGCTGCGATCCCCTCCCCAGCTCCCCTGTTCGTGCATGCGGCCCCTAGAGTAGCGAGATATGCCGCATTCTCAAATCCCCTCTCCTCCCCAGCGTACGTGCATACCCTAGCGAGACTGTCCTGTCGCATAAAACCCTGGGTCTATCCTTCCCTCGAATCCAAGGTCCTTGTGCTTTTTTGCTTTTAGGAGCAGAAGCGTGGTTTTTGGGAAGTTGAAGGGGCCAAAAATCTTGGCGAATATGTCCTGTCGCAAGAAGCTCATGGCTCTGTCCTTCCTTCGAAACCAGATTCCCTGTGCTTTTCTGT